CCTAAGCCTAAGCCTAAGCCTAAGCCTAAGCCTAAGCCTAAGCCTAAGCCTAAACCATATTAATTAAAGTTCATGTTCTCATGAAAAGTTTTATTAGGAATTTGCGGATAATAACTCTGTTCATGTTTTATTTAAAATTGTCAGGCTTCAAACTCCACCAAGACCTAGAGAGAGCTCTAGTAAGTCATCAGGTATCAAGTTCGGAACATTTAATTGGACTTCGGCATTAGTCGTATTTTTCTGAAGATGGGAACGAAGCTTAGGTTAGTAGCAGTATCACTTACAAACATTTGTCTGGGATTATCATAAAGACCCCAATCGATACTGGCAAAAAAAGGATGAGATCTAACTTCATCAATATCACAGCGGGATTTTTCAGGACAAAGCATTCTAGAATATATTATAAGATCTACACTCTTGCAGAAATAACGTACGAAGTTAACAAATGTTGACCAATGTTAGAAATAGACCCATTGTAATGAATGGGAATGACGATTTCGCTGAAAAAATTCGTGAAAATTGAAAGTATTCATTTTCTACTCTGATAGATTCGGTATCGCCGTTGCTAATGCTCGGCCGGTTAGCAGTTCAAATAGAATAGCACCTAATGTCCAAACATCACTGGCTTCGGTTGGGTGCCAGTTCAAACGGAACGATTCTTAGTATAATAAGTTTAGTGTCTGATTGTGCAGAATACCTGGAGCAGCGTACCCATCCTGGATTAAGACAGGCAACCCTTCATTCTTCCAATTACTAAAGTAGGATACAATGATGTTTCCACTGCTCGTTAGCAGTATTTGGTTAGGAGTAAAATTTCTGTAGTCATACGTTGTTTTAGAGAAACTGATCTTTGTCTACCCCATATAAAACTGATATGCTCGATGAAGTACGTAAAACCAACTGACCAGTTGAGCCATCCAATGAATTACAATAGCTTCAGGGAGAGGAGTACAAGAAGGCCAGCTTCTTCTGTGCTTCAATAGGTGTTCAACGTCTGACAAGTTTTCCGCCAAAGAGAGATGACAATGAACTGTACAAGCGTTTACGAATTTTTTTTTCTCTCACCATTTCCAGAAGTGAAGCTGAACGATGAACTGGCAGGGTCTTCTTCAGTTCCGACTACTGAACCTATAGTAGATGCCAAATAAAAATCTCCTAAAAAACTAATATACTCCGAACTCTAATATATGCTACCATATCTGATATCGCTTTGTGGATTTGCACAATCTTCACCCATTGAACACAAAACTTCACACGAAGAGGGATCTTCGTTCTGCAACAGTAAGAAAATACAAAATGTAGAGTGAAGAAACCATGCCAATGAAGGAACAGCTACATTGACGTAACGCTGAATATCTGCTTCAACGGTAAAATTCGATCTCCTCCCTGCATAACGAGCGCCAACCAAGGTGTCTTTATTCTCTTTCTTTGCTTTCCACGAGGATATATCTTCCATATCATAAAGCGAAGATTGAGATCGTAATTCACATTCATAGAAGAAACGAGTCTGAAAAAACTTTCCACATAGAGAGCACACAAACTATTGTACCAGAAAATTCCATAGTGGCCCATATTCATTATACTCCAATAGAAGAATAAGAAAAACTTCTGTTTCGAAAAATCTCTTGAGTTCGATCTACGCATGAAGAGAGTCATATTCAAATATTCTTTTGAAACCAACCATGTGTGGTAAGCCATTAGGTAGAAACTTTTGTTCTCCTGGATTCTTCTCAACCATTGTCATTATACTTTTTGTTCCTGAAAATATTTCATCAAAAAAGCCAGACTGATAATTCACCGGTTGTTTCGTCTTCTACTAGAAAAACCCTATTGAAATTGAAGTTATCAGGCAGAATTCTGATGATACGGAAATGTACGAGAGCTTCTAAGGAACATTTGAAGGCTAGGATATCCAAGCTCTCTCTTGGTTGAATGAATGAGCCCATATGATCGCAGATATTCAAGCTGCCGTCGTAGGATAAATAATTTCTTAACAAAACAAGTATGTTGAGAAGTCAAAAACAATGAACTTGTAAATATTCTCAGCTTTCATTAAGAATTTCGCAGTTTTCTTCCTGATGGCATTCTGCTTCAATGTATCTGGTTCTAACAATGCTGCCTGGGAATCACATCACATTCTAATATTTTTTTCCATAGTTATCACTCACCTGGATCAGAAGTTTTGTTACATTATTATAGAATTGGAATGCTTTCTCATAATCTCCTTCTAACTCCACTTTGTGAGCGATAGCTATCATTTTAGCAGCGTCCAACATGCACTCTTCTAGTCTCACATCTGCATCAACGTCGTTTTTCACACCTCATAAATAAAAGTTGTGATACATTTATTTTTCGATGGTTTCTCTTCATCATAAAGACCCTTCTTAGCTCCCGGATCTTCATGATTCAACTTATCCATGCTGCAGGTGGTGTGGTCTGTAATTTTGAATGATTCAAAAACAGTACATTTTATAGGCATTACCGAGAACAATGTTTGGGTAAGAGAAAGGAGTTGACTGGAGATCAGATGTCTCTTCTCCATTCACGTAAACATCTCTGAATGATTTTATTATACACAGAGCATGTAGAACCATTCTTACAGAAGATCAACACAACAATTTCGTGGACTTGAAGATGAAAGCTCGGCATTCTTAATACTCATTTACACTATTAAGGCTTCATACACTTCTCACCTTGAAAAAGTTCAGAAGAACACAAGTTTTCCGTAGAACATTGTTCTCAAGTACAAATTGAAGGAAAAATTCAATTGCATTCTTTCTTACATTCACTACTTCAGAGTGATTGGATCCCCACAATTTCTTAGGTGGGAAAGTTGGAAAAGTACCACGGAGATGCAGCTGACAGTACAGTTAGAGATAATAAACTGAGATTAAAAAACCTGTTTGTGTATTTTTTGCAAACTTATATGGAGTTTAGCAAAATCATTGAACACCGATGAGAGTATGAAACATTTTTTTGTGTCGCCTTGATTAGTTAACTACAAAGCACATTTCAGACACACCGCCAGGATGTACTTAACCTGTAGTTCGAGCTTGTATACCAAGGTTGTTAATGTTAAAACTTTTCTCTCCTCCACATGAGTTATTTTAATAGAAGCCGAACATTCGAAATTAGGTTTGACAAGTAACCGATTGCATTCTGTCAAATTATAATTATCCTTAGAGTAAAACATTATAGCGTGACATATCTAAAATAAAAAATAAAGATCATAAATGTGAGCTAAGAAGCATCAGAATGAAATGTAAGACGAACTACAATAAAACAGTTCGTTTAAATTCCATTGTATCCTAATTTGAAATAATATGACTATTATCGAAAATACGACAAGAAGAAGAGAACAAATGCAAAACAGATGTTTTATTCAAATTTTCAGGCTCTGACTTAATTCTCTCGAATTCGATACAACATTTGAGTCTGACTCCAATAATAAATAAAAACAAGCGTGTACTCATAAATTAGGAAATAAATCAACAACACGTTCTGTAGATTAAACCGTCGTAATTTGAAACATTTATTTTTTACCCCAAATCCACCCTTTCATCATACCAGAAATACTAGAGTCCTTTTCTTGATTCGAAATCTATAATTTATATTTTTATGAATGAATGATTTGGAAACTAACGTTCTTGGATGAAACAGTTGGTTTCACAGCTTCAGCTTGGACAGCCAGGCGCTTATGAAGATCAGGCATCTTGATCGAATTTTTAAAGGAAAACTCATAAAAGAGATACAAACCTTTATATGGTTGAGTGCCAAATCAAAGAACAGCGGCTTGTTAGCCATAGGAATGAAAGATGGAGGAATCTGAGCTATCGGTATAACCTCGTTAGCTTTTTTGTCAAGGCACACATTATTCCAAGCATCGACATTACTAGCAAGACACTGAAGAAAAAGGATGATATGAACAGTTCGAGAAGTTTACAAAAGATACTCACGCTCGAAAGAACTCTGTTTTCTTCATTGCTTTTCAAATTAGATGCTTCGAACAGGCGTTTGGATTTCACCGAAACCTTGTCGACCTTCATCTTCTGACGGAGCTCTTCCAATGATTTCTGAACAGAGAAGATGAACATTACATTTCAATAACGGATACCTTTGAAACAGTCTCATCGAAAAATTTATCTGATTTCAATCCTTCGAGAAGGGTATTCGTTGTATTTAATCTGCGTTCAGCCTGTTCGAATAGTGTGATCGCCTCGAAAAATTTCGCTAGGTGGGCATAAGAAGCGGCCATATAATAACATCTGAAGAGATCATCAACTTCTGTTTTCGAAAATAACACTAACCTGAATGTTCTGAAGTACTCTATCTTAGCGTTATATGCTTTTATAAGGGTTTGGTCAACAGCGGCACCGGGTAATTCAACGCACTGAAACAAACCCACTAGTTATAGATCGTGTTGTGAGGCTTACCTCTTTACATAACTCGATAACAGAGTCATACAACCTCAAAAGATCTTGGGGCTTGTACTTTTTATCAGTTCTATAATGAATATGGTTCAACTGGAAATACAAAAAAACTCCGTACTTGGTGTTCTCGATCATGGCCACATAACGTGAGATTGTTCCGTTGAGTTTCAAAAACTCGACATATGTCTTGAGAGTTTGCAACGACTAAAAAGAAAAATTAAGACTGTTCTGATGACTGACTTACAGTTGTATCCGCATTTTCAGCAGTTTTCCGTTTCATTAAGTCGCCTAACTTTTCAATAGCATCTCTAGTATCAGCTAACTGCTTCTCGTAAATAGCCATCTTAAGAAAAAACAATTTACATGTACTTGAGATCTCAGAACCTTATCTTTGGCTGATGAGCACTCTTGAATTTCACTTGCGGTTTGTTTCCAACTTTGTACGACTTGAGAAACCTTCTCTTCCTCTATAGTAATGCGCTCACCAGCCCATTCAACAACGACAACCTCATCTTTAGCCGCCTTAGATCTTACTTCAGCAATCAATTTCTACACAGCTAGGTAAAAAACATATCATAAGAGAAATCTTACGTCTACACTCTCATCTCCTCCTATTTGAAGACGGAGAGCCATCAGTTCACTCATAGAAGCAGGAGATGGAGCTTCAGCACTGTTGAATTCACATAAACGAAGTTGTGGTTGGATTTCTCGACATCTACATACATTGAAATAACAACAGAACTAAATTGTATGTGATAATGAACTAACTTGGCTTTGTACATATTGGACAATGATGTATTGTGGGTAGCCTCAGCAAGTCCTTCATACACAGTTCGGGCAGTCTATGATACATTGAACGATTCGTGAGGATAAACAGAACACCTTTAATGCTTCTGCAGCATCATGCCATTGTTTCATCTCAAAGGAGCAGATCCCCACAAGCCATGCAGAATAAGCTTGTACTTCCAGTTTCGTAGTTGCATCACACTTGACAAATATAAATTAAGGGAAACAAAAAATGAAAGTTACTTTAGGACTCTCGCGAACCAACTGCTCTAAATGTTTGGCGTGAGTGACGGCTCTGAATTTGAAAAATTGATTTCATATAGGATAAAATAAGACACCTCTTCAGATTCATTCGCATGCTGAACTTTTTCCGTCCTTTCTCTGGGTTATCCTCAATAGCAATTTTGTCAGCCATTGCTCTAGCCCAAGAGCGTTCACAACCGAAGACTCCTAGTTGCAGGAATCTAAGTCATGTTTTAATTTGATTAGTTCCTAAATGATAAACCCTTCGCTGGTGAATGTTGCCTCGGTCAGCCACTTTTTCACGAATTTAGCTTTATGTCTTCTAGTACATTTATGTGTATTTGTAAACTTCAGCACACGGCGTTGGCGTTTTAGTTTCGATGCACAATATTTCCTACATTTTTAAGTTCATAACTATTTCCCTAATAAATATACCTATAACGTTCATAATCCGCATGTCTAAGGCCATGCCTTTGCTGAGCATCTTTGATCAGCTTCAACAAACGAACAGTTGGAAACATAACTAACTCAGTTTCATCAGTTTCCATGGCAACATCAGCTACGGTCATGATATCCTGAAAAAATATATTGTCAACCCTAACAACTCATGGCGTACGCTTGCGACCGCGTCGCGTGCAACAGAGCGCTTTCACTACATGAACCATCGACAACAAATAACGGGCGGTGAGTTGGAGAGTTAAAAATGGACTAAATTATCTTATTCTTGTATATACATTGATGAATATATGTTAACCATGGTATGTTATGTTGTTACTGTCATTATAAATGTTTCTCTTAATAAATGCTTGTAAGAAATTTGTTCTCTGATATTCACACATGGAACTCCTTTGCTTTTTTAGACTTATGCTGAAACCATAGGTTTAAAAATAGAACGTTGAACCACTTTCTTTTTATCATTTTGTAATCTGATTTGAGCATCCTTCAGAGCTGGTTGGATGAAAAAATTTACTAAAATCATTAACAGATAAAATCAAATTGATCAACCACACATAGCCATATCATCTGCAATGGATCTCATAAAAATATAATTCAACAAACGCAATCAATAAAACATCTTCATTCACACCGATTAGCTTGAATACAGAAATATTTTATTATTTAATTAGAAATTTGTATTAAATACTTAAAACGATGATTGGAAAAGTTAAATATGCCTAAAAATGACCAGAAAACCAAAGTATAAAAATAAAAATCAAACGGAATACATAATGTAATGGAATTACAGTTCTTCATTCCTGAATAAGCGTGCCAACAGCTACACGGCCGTCTATAATAGAATATATGAGATAGTAGCAGAGATGTAGGAAAACTCAATTTGCAATCACTTGAAAGAAGAAAAACAAAAAAAAAACATTAGGAAAGGAAAGGTGTGTACCTATGTTCTAGCTTATTACTTCCCAATCCGACTCATCACTCTTGGCAGATACCAAGGAATTTTTCGTATTTTTGTCAGATAGACAAGTCTTCAAACTACTTATCTGCTATAAAACAACAGCTCAGAAAATATCAGAAAACGGTTTCATCATATAGCTAGCCAACGAACCTTCCTTAGCATGCAACATTCAAAAACTTCAAGTTTAATACGATCAAGCCACATATTACGAAAATACTAAACACGACAAGGACATGGCAAACAGCGGGTGTTAGTCATATGAGCAGAAGCAATGTGAGACACTAAGCCCATTTAGAACTAACCGATCTCTTCAACTTGTTTTCTAATAACATAATTCGATCCTCATAGTCCTTCCTTTGTTGAGTAGCTAAACTCGAAATTAAACTGAGTTGGTTGCTCTAAAAGATATTTTTTAATTCTTATGTAAAACATTAGTTAACTTACTAAATCATTCAAAGCAGCCTCACAGTGCTTGGAATCCTTTTCGCTCTGAAAAAAAGCTGAATAGAGCAAGCAACATTTAACAAACCTCCGGCCTCGTATTGCGCTCTGCAATTTTAGCAGACACAGAATCTAGCCAAGTGGTATATGACTGTAAAAATATGATACGTCATTAGTCTCAATTAAAACTTACTTTGTCATCCTTGATGGCAGTTTTTGACAGACTAAGAGATTTGTTGATTGCATTTACCAGTTTGTTGAAACGATCAGTAACGTCGTCATTTTTCTTAAGAACAAAAGTATTTCACATTCGAACTCTTATTACCTTTTCTTCCACATTCTGTTTTACTGCAGCAGTTCCACTAACTCGGTTTTCGAGCTCACGGAAGTTTTCAAGTATTTTGAAATTGCGCTCACGAAGCTCCTGAAAACATCCGTTATCAAACTCTGGATAACACTAGAGGATGCAGTACTTGATTTTTCAAACGCAAAGAATCGTTCTCAGCATTAATTTTGCTTGAGTCATCTGAAACAGTCTTCCCCGGTTTGACACCGTTCTCTTGTCCTTTCGCTTGCAAAGTATTCACTTGTACAGAAAGTTTAGCTACGCTGAACGATTTGAATATTAAAAAAAAAGATCAATGAAACAAACTTTTCTTCATGAGAAATCTGTAATCGTTTATTCTGCTCTTGCTGACTATTAAGTTCATCAGCTAGTTTTCCATTTTCGTTTTGTAAAGCTTCGAACTTCCTTCAACAAACAACTTTAGTTTTACTTTGAAAAGCTTATTCCTACTTAATTAATTCTTGCTCCTTCTTCACCCATTTTGTCTCGAGCTGGGACTCTCTTAAATCAACTTGCTTCTTACTAAATTAATTTTTTTTAAACAAACAACGACTTTATCCACTTACTGCTCTTCGAACTTGCCGACTTCCTGATTCAAATCAGCTACGATTAATTGAAGAGATCTATATTCTTCTAAGAGTTTCTCTTGTTTCTGAAAGATGGCTTTCGTTTCTCGCAAACATTGAATCAAGTACCGAGGTCCACTCCTCTTTCTCTTTCTGATGAGATACTAAGAGTTTCTCTTGATCACGTCCAGCTTCAATATTTTTCTCACTATTGAGTTTTTGAGCTTTCAATACACTTTCGAGACTTACAAATTCTTTCTTCAAACTCTCGAAACTAGCAGTGATACTTTCATTCTCAGATTTCTATAATAATTTGAAAAGTTTAGATCAAAATTCACTATTGAGCTTACTAATGCAGAAGTCTGAGCAACAGCAGTCTTCAATTCATTCTGGAGATTAGAAAGATGCACTGACTCCCTGTTTTTTTCCTGAACGAAAATATTGAGATCGGAAAAAAAGAGCTTTCTACGGCTTTAAGAGATTCCAATTCATCCTTAATGCTAGCACTCTGCTTGAGACTGGCGGACATGGCTTGAAGAGTAGTTCTAAGGTTTACAATCTCCTTTTGAGTCTATTATGAACGAAAAATTATTCTACACTGCTTATATTAAACTCAACCGTTTGTCGCTCTATTGTCATGGCTTCAACCATTTGAAGTTTAACTGTCAAGTCCTTTCTAAAGTGCTTCGAATAATAAACGCATGGTTTTGAAAAAAACGAACTGTTGTTCTTTCAGTTTTCTTTCGATTGCAAGACGAGCATCTCTCTGAGTTTCGAACATTCTGGTAGATTCTTGAACCTCCCTTGTTAAGAAAGAGATCTTAAATTTCCTTTAATTGGGAAACTTGAATCATCCAAAAATAACCTTCTCTGTGGTGTCATCAAAATGTGTAGCCAAAAAGCTAATGTATTCTGGTTCAACATCTTCAACAGATGCAAAGCGCGTAAGAACCTTGTTACTATCTAACGACGACAAGGTAATAGCTAAAACAAACAAAATCAGTATACGACCAAAAAATGAACAAACCTTTCTTTTTTGGTTTCTTTTCTTGAACAGAAGACAAACCAATATTCTCACTTTTCTCAGTCTTCTCAACTTTCTTCGCTTTCTTCTTCTTCTTCTTTCCTGAATAATTATACACATGAAGATAACATCTAAAATCAACATACCATCAGATTCGTCGGATGAATTGACTTCGGCACTAGGTGTTGTTGGAACTATTTCGTTTTGTGAAGTTTCGGTTACCTAAATCATGACTGCTCGTTAAAATTGTTTTAACCAGATATACCTTTATCTGTTCTTCTACTAGTTGAGCTTCCTCGATGATTTCTTCTTTCTGAATATCATTATCTGTACAAACAGCATCACTTTTTTTGGTATCATGAACTTTCTACAAAAAAAAAACTTTATATGAATCGTGAATGATGTTCGATGATAAAATCTTTAGAGAATTCTCATGAACTGATCAGACTATTTCCTAACCTCTGTTTTTTTCTCTTTCTTCTTAACTACCTTCACTTTAGCTTTCCCTTTCTCCTTATTTTGAGCCAAGAGCTTTCGCGTATTCTCATCATATACCTTGAAAGAGGTCTATGAGTGTCGAGAGTACGAGAACATCGTCAAACCTTATCAAAATCATCACCTCTACTAGAAACGAAGAAAATGATTGCGATGATAAAAGCAATGCAGGTTAAAGCAATCCCTAATGAGACAGGATCGAGCATCTATAAGAGATTAAAATTGATAAATATCAGAAAAATGAAATATTTTCTATTGATTTCTACGACGTTCATGAAGAAAAAACTTTTATCCAAGTTATGGAATGTCCAAGGACGCGGCGTCATTTGTATACGGTAGTGTAATTCGCATTAGAGCAGACATTAATTTTGAAATTGCGGCATAGATGACACAAGTGCGGAAGTATCGAGTTATATTTGCTCAAAATAGTGATGTAAAATAGTTTGATAAAATGAAGAATCGAAGTTACGATGAAGAAGAATTCAACATGCTAATGCATTTGTGTTGTCTTGTATCCATTTGTATACTAAAAATTAAGGCAGACGTGAAGAAATGAAGACATAACAAATAACATGAAAACATAACCATAAGCCAAAAGATCAGCAGAGAGGTTAGACAATTTTGTGAACATAGCCAATAAGAAATAGACGGATTAACAGCTGGATTAATCCTTTTTGTGGAGACGAAAGGAGTAAGTGAAGATTGAAAGAAAAGCAACTTGCCCATGGCCTATTCAACGATCAAATAAAAACATTTGATTTTCTCAAGTAAATTCATATTGATTGTTTTTTTTCGTTTTTCGGCTCTAACTCATCGTCTACAGCATCCTACACACTCCTAATGAACTGATAAGATAGTTATCACCAAGTTTTTTGCGCAATTTTTGTCATTATTTGAGCGATGCGCTCGTCATTTCCAACAGCAACTGATTAGCCAAAATCTGCACCGGACTTTCGAGATACGTGTGGTGCTATTTCAATATGCAGTTTGACCATTGGTTAATAACTCATGTCAATAAAAAATTTTGAGAGAAAAACAACCATTGCTTTTACATCCGTGATTTTGAAGAAATTCATTCTCAACGTTTCACATGTTCCAGCTCTAAATTGCATCAAGCTTAGAATCTTCTTTGAGTATCGATTTTTCTAAGTTTAGTAGTGGCACTTTATGAAAGAAGATTGAGAGATGTTATTCATTCATTTCAGGAGAGAGAGTTCCCTCCAACCTCTATGAACAGATCTCTCATAGATTTGTCAGACTATGAAGAATATGATGAGACCATTGTTTCTGAAGTCATCTTGAAGTTCTATTTGTTCTATGTTCCTTTTTGTGTGATCGTTGGCTTATTTGGTAATGGAATGGTATGGATTCTCATAAAGTAACTACTGTTGTCTTGTGCTTTTACTCTATGTTTTCGATTCTTTCAGAAACAACAGAAATCTCTCAAAACTTCCAACTAACATTTACTTGCTTAATCTGGCTTTCGTTTCATCATTCTTCCTCGTTTTCCTGTTGTTTTTCTGGATCGAAGATGTGAGTTTGTCTCTGCGAATAAGGAAATGTCTTCCATTTATAGGCTTTTGAAATCAATATTTTCAAAAGTACCACTTTTTCTTGTAAAATTAACACGTTCTTCGCCCACGTCAGTGATTTTGTTTCTGTTTGGTTGATCGTCCTTGTTGGTTCTGAGCGTCTTATTCTTCTACAATGGAAAACTCGAAGTTTAACCAAAGAACGGTAACTGCTTGTTCTTTTCCGTTTTCTTCTATAATCAGCTTTGTTAGAGCCAGATCTCATATCATCATCCTTCTCATAATCGCCATGCTCTTTAATTCGTGGATACTGGCTGTCGCGGATCTTAAACCTGGAACAGAGTTTTGCGATATAAACTCTAATTACGGTTACATCTACGACATCATGACCATCTTCGAAGTACTCTGAATAATAGATATCACTCTACATATTATATTTAGATGGTTTTTTGTATTGGTCTACCTAGTCTTATAATAATTATTTCCAACTGTATCGTGGTTATCAAACTCAATCGTCACCTCAAGTACTCTCATTTTTTCGTATGGATTTACATGCTTTATCTCTAGGAAATATCCTTCTTCGCCAGCTGTCTCTTTTAATACTTCCGATGTAGTCATGGCTTCTAACACTATAGGAAGTAGTTCAAAAATGTGGGAATTCATGAATACATATGGATTTAGTAAACGAATTTCCAGAAGATCATCCCTCGAATCCCAATCGATGGTTCGGCAAGCTCCAAAACGAAGCTTGAGATATGCTGATATCCAATTAACTCGAAGCTTACTGATTGTCACTTGGGTTTGATACAAACCTATAAGTTTGAATCGCATAATCTATTTATAGTTTTTCATCATTCTAAATTTGCCAAATTATATATATCGGATAGCCACCAGTTCATTCGGATTACCTCATGAGGTGATTCCGCGATTGAAATTATCGCATACCAAATTGTTTTCAGGATGCTTCAGCGAGATTCATTTCCATATTCGTTCATTTACTTTTATATTCACATCATGCATTCGTATTCTATTTTTATATTTTTTATTCGCCACAAATGAAGCGGAGGTTAAAACCAACAGCAATGAAGCTCTTGGAATGTTATTGTTTCAAAGCTCCAGGTGAATTTGCTAGTGATAATCGGTAAACGGGTGTCTAAATAAATCTTTTCATTCATGTTTTTTCGATACTCATAGAAACTACTTCAACTAAGCTTACAAAATCTTATATTGCCGATAAAAAATAGCACATTGGTTTGATGAGGACTCTGTTTTCGATATGCATTTCTTTAAGTTTTTGAAGATTCTTGAATAATAGATATCAGACTAAAAGTTCCTTAAGTAGTAAATGGTTGATTCGTGGATCGACTTCTTCTGACGAAGGCTGTAGTAAAACAATCTAACTAAAGTAATGCGCAAATTACTCACGTTAGATTTTGTTTTTTCTCTTCGAAGAGATCTGACAGCTGAGGGTCTAGCAGGCTTCCTTGCACTAGCATTGTTAGAGCAATATCTTTCTAAACATAACATATCAAGTGTTTATGCTCGAAACTCAATTACCAAAACGATTCCCATCAGAATGGGGTTTTTCGTATCCGAGAGAGTGGGCAAACTGGCGATTGAAGAAAACTTGGTCCTGATTCTTTCATGTGAAATATTGTGTAACTTTGAAATGACGTTCAGTATAATACCTTTATGGGACTTTCAGGTTTATTATTAAATATACTTTCCTGAGATAAATAAAATCCTTCATTATAATGAACACCTGATGGTGGGAATGGTTTGCTATCCTAAAATAAACTTTTCCACATAATACATAGCTGTGACAATAACCTGGAACTCTGGCATTTCTCTAAGCAATTCAAACTCTGCTAGCAAATCTGAAAATGTAGGTCTCTTCTCTATATTCAGAGACCAACATTTTTTCATCAAACGATATCTGAAAGGCATAAAACCAGCTGAGTATATACTTTGGTGAACTAACATATAATCAGGGCAGAAATAAGGTTTGGTCGGAGTTTGTCCTTTCTGAATGTGTTCAATGATGTCATCATCAGGAATATCCTCATATGGCTCTTTTCCCAAGCTCAGAATCTCATACATCAGAATACCGAACGACCAAATGTCACTTTTTGAGGAAAACTCATTATCAGTCAAAGATTCTGGTGACAGCCAGCTAAACTTTTGTGGTTTCATTACTATAACCGTTTTGTGCAAACCGAATAGCATCTTGCTCATCGTTTATACTAGTGCAGCTATCCGTTGTGAAAAGTTTACGTCCGAGCCCAAAATCAGCTAAATATGAACAATGTGACTGTGATTCCATTTCTGATTTCTCACCAATTTTAGTAATCCTAACACCTGCTAGTTCTGAAGAAATTAGACAATTTCTCGCCGATAAATCGCGAAGAACGTGATGATTGGTTTCCAAATAAGAACCTCCTCTACCTATATCAACCATCATTGACAAGAGTTGTCGCAATGAAAGAGAGGAATGAGCAGAATCCGTTGGTGCACTAGAATATTTCCAGGGTTAATTAGAAGAATATTTGATTAAACCTTCTCTTGAGGAAGTTGAGTAGATTTCCTTCTTCCATATACTCCAAAATTAAATAGAGAGGATCGCGATAAACATTAACACCCAACAATTTTACAATATTGGGATGATCGAAGTTGCTAAAATAAATGTACTTAAATTGAATTGTGTCTGCCTTAGATACTTCATGAGAATCGCTTCCTTCATAAACTTAATTTTATCTCCCTCATCATACCCTTGTTTCATCGTCTGTAAAGCGTTCAGGGTGGATTCTTCTTCTAAACAATGAGAAAAAACCTTGATGGCCACACGATTATTCTTCTCTCCACACATAGGTAGATTAGTTGCGGTGCCTTCATAAACTTCTCCAAACGAGCCTCGTCCTATTTGTCTTTGAAGAGTTACAAAATCAGGATTCACATGTGGTAAGTCTGAAATGAAACAGTAATGAGTGAGTAGTTTTATGTGTAAGCTATGATACTTTTCAATTCGTTCAGCATTTCAGGCGATAACGGCTGATCTGGAGCATGATGTCCGGCCATTTTTTCTAACGTAATGCAATTTCTGTTTTCATTCTGTTTCTGTTTAGCGATATTTCTTTTTCTTCGGATCTTCACTGAAAGTTGAAAAGAGGGTTTTAGAATCATGAAAAAAACATGAAGATACATATGAAATAAATGAGAGCGCATAGACAAATGAGTGCTACAATTGCAACAATTATATAACTCCAAGACCAGTTTCCTCCATCTTTTACATTCAAAGCTGAGAATAATTCAAGTTTTAAACTTGTGAAGTTCAAATTCACCTTTGTGGTCTGTAGATGTAGCGTATAAACCGAACCCCTCTTGATTAGCAGCCCGAACTCGAAACTCCCATTTCACCTAAACATAACATTTGTGAAATATGAGAAGAGAACTACGTCAATGTCCCGGATGATGTTCAAAACAGTTTCCATATTGTTCTTCACTTGATTAAAACTGATAACAGTACTCACCTCAGCGTTTACAGTACGAGCTGGTGGTCTCCACGATAACTTCCAGCCATCTAAACCTCTCTCAGCTATCTCCCATTCAGCAGTGTTATTATGTCTCATCTGAAAATAAAATCAAAATCCTGCAAATGTGAAAAACAAACACCTCTACAGCATAACTTGTGATAGGGGAACCACCATCGGAAAGTGGTTCCTGCCAAGATACGATCCAACCTTCCTCATCTTTGTGTGCTTCAACTAGAAGAGGAGAAGTAGGAACTCCGGCTAAAAAAAATATTTTTACTGATATAACATCTAACAACAAAAAGAAAACCTTTAGTTTTCGCCTGTTGAACGGCTTGGTAATAATCTTCTCGATAAGTCAACTCTTTACCGAAGAACCGGTAGTTACCTGAATATGCTGCCGCATACCGATAATCGTAAGAAGTAGCTGATAACAAATTTGTAATAACGACTGAAGAGAGTAACTAAGAATTATTGTATTAAGTCTAACCTAGAATAGAAGAAACTTGAGGGCTGAACGATGCATTAGAAGGGGTTTTCCACTCAATACCGTTGCCCGACTTATATGAAATAGTAATATAAAACAAACAGAATTAAAGTACTTACTTCTTTATACTGGACATATATGCTTGTAGGAGGTCTTTCAGCATCTAAACTGTTCCATCGCAATATTATTGAAGATCCCGTGACATTGTCCGGTCGAAGTGTTCCAGGTATATCCTTAGTTCTACAACTGATCTGAAACAAAACACTGTATATTTTAAAGCTTCGTATTTATATACTTCTTGCGAAACGGCTTCAGTGTCTTCTAGGAACTGAACATTGAAATGGTTGACATGCAGAGCAGTAGCCTGAAGGTAAGAGGAACAATGAAAAAATAGGAATAGAAAGATTGATCCTCACAGTGAATTTGTATTCAGTAGAAGGACGTAAGTTGGATACTTTCACTCGGCAAGGGTTGGTTAAGCACGTCGCAGAATCTGACAAAGTGTTTGTGTAACCACCATCAGTGAACTCTTGCACAGCAACAGATGAAGGTTCGGATATTCCAGGAGAATGTTGGGAAATCTACAAGAGTGTACTTAAATATATTGGTCAACTGTTTCTTTACTTTATAATGGATTTCATTGATTGGAGAATTCAGCTTCTCAGGGAGGAGCCAATTCAAATATACTGTATCCGGAGAAACTGCGACAACTTGTAACTCTCTTGGAGCTGACGGGTAACCAAAACTACAAAGAATGTTATGAAAACTCTGTAGAACTAGAACTCACCCAGTACGGAAAGGTTTTTTTTCACTAGTTGTTGCCATTTCAATGTACCGGTTGGACCATGACACAGCTACTTCATAATCCGTTTCTTTATCGAGAATACCGTTTTCAACATGAACAATACTTGAGAAACTACGTATCTTCTTCACTTTGTCACTATTCTTTCTTGTAAAAAATATCTTAAATAAGGAATTATTGAAAATGTTTTAAAAGAAAAGTACCTCATAATTGATTTCCGGGAATGATACTCCCGCACATGTGTTTTGAGAAGGAGGTGGTTGAATTGATAAATGACTACCAGTTTTTCCTTCGTTCTCGATTGTAAACTGGATGCCTGTTGATGGAGGAAGTGCGAAGCAAGAACGGTCTGAAACCCTTGAAAATTGAGTTGTTCAGGTAGTTAAGCATTACCTGGAAACGGCTGACTACTTTGACTAACAGCTAGAATCTGTCGTAGAGGAGGATTAATGATCGGTATAGGAACAACGTTATCACGTCCATATATAAGCATCTCAGAACTTGTAACGAAAACGAAGAGTTTGTCGGCAATAGCGAATGCGGACATAGCTTTTAAGCCTTTTTCTGTACAAAAAATATTGTAAAAGAGATAGTTACCCAATATTACCTCCAAACTTATTCCAATCAATTCGAACCTCGTTGCACTTGCTGTTTTCCTCCAAATCAACCACAATCAGCCCATTCCAGGTCAAAGCATAGATCTTAGGAGAAGAGGCACGATTCCATGTAAACTCTTTAAAAAACAACTGTTTTTCAAACTGTTCTAGTGAGACCTGTCATCATCCATGTTACTGTCTGGCTATATAGACATGAGACTGTCAACGCCATATTGAGTTCCGTTTTTGCACTCAAGTTAAGGGAAAATAGTGATCCGTTCGTGGTTAAGAGGTATGCCGTACTGATAGAAATATGTTTTGTATGATTTAAAACTTCAAAATACTTTTTGAATGGATCGAACGTAAGCTGTTTTGCGTCTGTTGCTCCTGTTGTTAAGTCAAGCAGTTTACTTGGATTCAATAAGTTCATGGATGCAAAAGGATCAAGAGCAACTTGGTAAATTGCACTTCCTGCCACAAACAAGAGACGATGAGCTACCCAATCGGATGTCATTGCCTCAACTTTAGGTATATCACCACTCAAAGTAGCCTAAATGTAAAAGTAATAGAATATTACATGTGATATCCGTTACCTTATGAATAACATTACTAATGTCATTTGTGTCTATCTGGACCAATACAGGCTGAAGAGTGTCAGGTTCCTTACGGACAGCATACAGATCGTTACCTATGAAGGCTATAGCTTGATATTCCATCTGAACAAAATCACCGAGATCCCAAAAATGATGTTTGAAAATACCTTCGATATTTGACGTTTTTCTCGTTTTATGCTATCTTCGTCGCTAATGTTTGTAATTGCCATCAAAGCATTCGTAGAGTCAATCGCAAAAAGCCTTACTAACGGTTTCAATTCTATAACACATAATTTATGAATATACTTTAAAATAGCATACCGCTACTATCAATTGATATGGGTGTGGAGAATTCACCAACATTTTTTGGTTCATTGGAAGCAGCAACTTGACATGTAACCTTAACTACCAAGAGTTACTGTTATTGAGTCAGTCAGCTAACTTTTCCACTTTTCACAGAGAACGAGTAGTGATGAACAGAGTTTGATACTGGCCCTCCTTGGCTAGTTCCATCTTCGATTCGAGTACAATTCACAACGTACTGGAAGGGTGAGCCATTCCACTCATTCGGTGGGTCCCAGAACAAAGAAATGATTGCTCTCGCACCATCGACAGTTTTCTGGAAAGTTTCATATCAGTTTAGCTTTGATGTTGTGTTAACCTGTTGGGTGGCAAATAGCCGCACATTTATAGGTACAGTTGGAGGTTTTACAGGAGTTTGTAATCCAGTTTTGTTCAGAGATTTTATGAGCCAAGGAGTAACCGCTGAAACGAATGAACAATGAGCAAGTCCCTCGCAAAAATAAAAAACCTTCAACAGTCACATCAAACTTCTGCGCGCTATCCCACGCTTCAAGTAGTCTGTCTCGTAAAGCTAATTTATTATCAACGGTTAGATGAACTTCACGTTCATCAGAACCTAGTTTTTCACGGTACAGGGTAATCTGTGTTCCGATCTGTTTAGTGTAAGGAATGCAAAACAAACTTTGAAAATGCTTTTTCCTAATAGATTTCTCGGTTCAATGTTCCATGATATTTCATATTTCTGTTCATCCAAGTACTGTTTCACATCTGCAGACATTATAGAAGTTAATATAAAAAAAAATTAAAGAATACCAGAGATTGTCGCAGCATTCGTTGATTGTTCTCTATTGATTGGCAAAATCACATCTATTGTTGGAAATGAGTTATCAATGTTTATTGTCTTGAAGCGCTTGTCTGAATATCCAACTTTGCCCTGAAAAACATCTATGAGCATCGACGTAATGAATATCTCTTAATTTACATCAGTTGTTAAAAAAACAATTTTCTCTTTTGCTATCAATAGCTGTCGTATGCTACAAAACAATCATTAGAAAACGAAGAACGAAAGAAAAATCAAACTCTGGCATATTGGTCGTTGATGCTATAAGTCTAGATGAACGATCATCTTGATCAGTCTCGAATAAAGCGACTGTACCATTAGGATACAGTAACGTATAGAATATATCTCCAGTTGCATCATCTGAAGTCAGACCAGTAACTTCTCCACATTCATTAAATGATGAGCAAGTATAATATCTGAACATATATACATTTTGAATAGTAGGAGTTTAACTTTCTTACAGATGTTCAAATGTTCCAGTTAGCCGAAAAGCAGCTATTTGGAAATGGGATGAGATGATGATTGTTGAAAATGATGGTAGAACGGTCAAATGGCGAATTGACGAGAATGAGGCAAACGGTAAACGGTTTCCAACATCCGTAACAGCGGTTCTTGATAGAGTTATCTTAAAAATGTATAATCAATTGAATGCAGCTGAATAGTTTATCAACCGCATCCGACACGGTCAAATGTAAAAATGAAATGTTCACGTGAACCTCACGTGGAGTAAATCTTACATCGTTATGAGAATAATAAATGGTCAAAGTAGTATTATCAATTACAAATGGCTTGCGAATATCAATATTTATAGGAACTCCTGGAAATATTTTCATTCATTGTTTTTATTTTTTTTTCTGACCTGCAAAAAGCGGAACACTGAGAGGACGTCCAAGAATGTCATATCCTTCTAAGGATTCTGAAGATCGTTTAAGCAGAATGAAAGGAATATCTGAAGTATTCGTATATATAAAAGTTTGAGTATCCATCAAATTACTGTCTGATAACGATGAGAAAGATGTGTCACTTGTGATGCAGCTTGATGAGCATGTTTCTTCTACACAAGCCTCAACTTTGACAGTATAATCAGTGCTAGACCGTACGGGAATCATCTGAATACAGTTTTTATATTATCATTTCAATAATAGGTATACTAATTCCGTTTTATCGGTTTGATATTCGCTTGAAGGTTCTTGATTGTCGTTCACATTGATCTTATAAACTAATTTTCTCCATTCAGTTGCTAAAAAAAGATTGAGAATGAAACGAAGACATTCTGTTCCTTTCGAACCTTGGAATTCCAATTGAGCAGGAGTTCTCCAACTCACTTTACCATCATTGTCAGTTGTTATTAGCGACACATTCATAGGTGGTTCCACCGAAAAAAGTGTTGGCATATCCAAGCCCATGAAGATGAAATCAACAGCTTTATCGGTTAAGCGATACCTCCAAAGTACTTTTCTTGTGTTCGAATACTATAGTCCGAACTCACCTGCTGAAACTAGGTTGAGAGTTTTCTTTATCCCCAGATGCGTTTTTCTCGTCCTCTGAATAGAAGCAAAATTCATCCATTGAAGTATCCCCGCATTTCAGTTTTGTCCAAAACATTCGTCCGTTGAGCATGCGGATCCTTTCTACCTTGAAACACTATGTTCTTGGTGGTGATAGAAAAACGCTTACAGATGTAAAATCCCCATTCCGTAGTAAGGAAACTGAGAGGGAAACTAAATCAATTGCGGTGATCGAACCTGAAAATAATAAATGAGAGAAGAGAGCTTGAAAACAGAAAACCATTTTTGAGCGAAGCAATGAGGTGGTAGGAGTCGAAAGAAAGTTCTATAGAAGTAGCGGGAGGTAAATCTGAAGAAAGGAAAGTTTAGATTTTAAAAAAAATGTTTGAAACCATTGAGCATTTTAATGTTTTGCAAAGTATATCCTTCGGGAGTTACGTAAGGTAGTAGATAGCTTCTATAAATCTGTTCATCTGCACAGAGGAAATACAAAAAGCTGAAAGGTTTTGATGGAAAAATTATCGGAAATTTGGCCAAACCCATTGATGTAATCTACTGCCAGTCTTCTGATAGGGTTCAAGGAGTCAAAATGCACATAGATGGTACATGAGTTTTTTTCCGAAACATTGCACCTTGTGATCCCTTTCTCACTCAGAACTACATAGATGAACCTGTTCGTCGCATCTGCAGATGAGTAAACTGATGTTCATTCAGAGCTTTGGTTTCATACCATAACTGATATCCTTGACAGCTTCATCACTTATAGCTCTTAGCTCAAAAGGTTCATTTTCTTCTGTCGAATTTTCTGGGCTCAAATTCAACTTCCAGACACCTCCTTTAGTACTTCCAACAACAACTTCCGCTTCCGAGATACGACAGAGAGCTGTATACTTGTCATTTGTATGCTAAATGTTGTAAACAATACCGGAAATAGTATCGTCAGACGACACTGGTGTTGCATAAGCAGTGGTTTCTTCAGACAGAATGAAGTCATTCAAATTCTTGATTTGTATCAAATGTGTGGAGTTGCTTATGAGCAAATTGGCTGTGTTAGCAGATTCCAAGAGAACAACTGTAAAAGTAAACAACAACTAGGTATATCTTGTTGAATTCTTGAAAGTACCATCATCATTAACTAGTTGGTAGGTGGTGGAAGCGGAAGAGATGATATTATTTTCATCATCCAGATTGTAGATGTTGATATGACAGCAGTTTTCAAATTGTAAATTTCGAAATAGAAAACATCTATAACTGGAGGGACGTTAATGTCAATGTAAATGATCATTGAAAAAATACTTGCTCAGAGTCACTTCTTCTGCTTGCAGTATATTGCCATCAAGGGCGGCTAAGGTTGTTTTGTATTTCTGAAAATAGAAGAAATAGTTGATTAATTCTGGGGTAGATGATGTGAAAAAAACGAAAAGAAATTTTAAATCTTAGAGTACATTTGTTTTTCCTCCCGACCAACAGACAGCCAGCTTATCCTTGGCTATTTGTGTTTGTGATATAATTTGCAGATTTGCAGACTGTGATGGAAGCTGTGAGCTTAATGGTCTTGATACAATGAATCGATCACGATAGCCAATTGCCAATCTAACCTATATTAAATGATTATTCATTATATTTATAGAACGATAGATATTTAATGATTACTTCTATTGTTCCCGTAAGATAATTATCAATTATAACTTCCGCATGGCTTCCATTCTTGAAAACCTAATATTTATTCAATTATAATCAAATAGTTTGTTAAAAAACTTGCTGATAATGGCATTTCATATGATTTCCAGCCGGTTCGCCTTTTCTGCTCATGAATTTGCGTATAGCATATCATGTTCGATTCTGCGAATTCTTGTATTCGCATGGCTGAAGCATCAACAAATTGCCAAACCAATCGAACTCCTTCATCAACAACGCTGATGGTAACGGTTACTTCATTTAATATTTCTTTAATAATATTTAATTATTAAAACAATATGTTTTAATTATAAATTATTTACCTTGGAGCACCGATAGCAGAATGTTTGCTACGTTATGACAACCTTGAAAGCAACTATCAAAATTCACTGTTTCCTAAAACTCTTTAAATTTTTTTTCTGATTTTTAGTTTTCAATTAGCTATACCTGACTACAGCGTTGAGAACATTTTGAATCTGAATCATCTAAATTCTGACAGCCCTGATTGCACTGTAAGGAGAAGAAAATTAAAAATTACAAAAAAAGCTTTAATTATTCATATGCAACCGTTCCTTATTTATTTCATTTTGCAAAATAATCGTCTACGCCACGTTTCACGTCAGACTTACGTGAGTATTGTTCATGCAAATTATATAGTTTGAGATATGTCAGATGATTTGAATTATTCATAATGATTATATGGCTTATTACCGATGATACGCGACATGGCCAATCACAAGTTTCATACTCTGGTGCTTCCCAGCTAACCTCACCGCGTTTGAGTGGAAAAGCCTTAATTATATCAGTTACTATTTTCATATTACATAATTATGACTATATGAGGAAGAAATAAAGCTGACTGACCAAAGTTCGATTTGAGCAATCATCTAAGCATGCTGTTGAAGCTGAAGAAAATGTGATGCTGGTGCCAGAAGACGAAATGAAAAATAGTTGTAAAGAGAGAAGAAATATAATCATTCTATTGACCACATCGAGACTGATTAATCTTAAATTATATTTAATTATATAGATATTAAAGTGTTACAAGTATTTCTTGTAATACGAAGGCAAGAACTCATCGAAATTAGCTATCATTTTCTTTTTTTTTTCTTTTTTTTTGTGTTTCCGTTTGTATATTTTGTGTGGTATGCATGTATGTATGTGTTTTAGTTGAGAAAAAAATTTCATATAATAGACTTGTATATTGGGTTAGACATTTCAAGACGAAAATGATCATGAACGATAAACGATCGATTTGCAAAACACAGAGAGATGAACAAGATTGGAATTGAGAAACAGTGGAACAGAAAAAAGATGAAGAAGAAGGGGGGGGGGGGGGGGAAGTAGATGAAGGAGAAGAAGAAGGGAAAGATTCCTGAAAAGATGACAATCATTACCGTTATCGGTCATAAATAGTCATGAAAGTACTGTGAGAGTATGGCCTCGTTGGAATTTCATTAAAATTCATTTTTTCTTAAATTTAACACATCAAGTCGTTGAGCTGACGATTTCTCTCCCTGTTATTTCGATCCAATACATTTCATTTGTTTTTCTTTTTTCTTTCTTTTTTGTTGTTGAAAATTATCTTCCTGATGAGTAAGTGAGCATAAAACGGACAGCAATTTTGCGGATTTCTGAATTGTAAAAGTAAAAAAGGAAAAAAAGGAGGAAAAGTTGTTGAATATTGATAAAGATCGACGAAAAGTTTGTAAAAATGGAGAGGAGAGTGAGAGAGAAAGAATATGAGAAAGAGAGAGAGAGAGAGGTGTGTGTCAACTTTTGTATTTTAGCAATTTGAATTGAAGCCTTCATCCATACACTGTTCTTACATTCGACTTTGTCTGTTAATCATCATCATTGAATGCAATTAATAATGAAAAATAAAATATTTCTTGTTCATCATATTGTATTGAAGAAGATTTAGTGTAATTAGGACTGAAGTGAATATCTTAACTTTCTTCTTCATTCATATATAATATTGACCAAATGACCTTACAGAAATGTCAGAATGATATGCAATTGTCATTTATACTTATCGTAAATGATTAATTAATATGATCAAATAAAGTTTGAAGTTAATATAAGCCACTTTTGTGTAAGTTTTGTTGAATAATCATCGAAATGACGGAATCCAAGATTTTTTGAACTTGATCGGTGTCCGTGGCACATGTTTCATGGATGAATATGGTCTTCTTTGGATTGGCATTTAATGCTTCAAATCTAGTTTTTATGTATTTTATTGAATCCTTGTAGGTTTGTGGTCCTAAAATAGATTATTTTAAATATCATAGAGATATATGATATAGAGAATCTAAAGATCCCTATTCTGCCAGACATACCTTGGTATTCTTCGAAAGCTGTACGAATCGACACGCGCGTGATTTTTTCTTCAAATAAATCTTTTTTGTTTAAAAACAGTATAATGGAAGTGTTGATGAACCATCGACTATTACAAATTGATTCGAATAGTCGTAACGACTCTTTCATTCTATTCTATAATGCACAATTATATAGTTGGCATGGCATGAAGTGATGTGTACCGTTGTTTCATCTTCAAAAAGAACTTCGTCATATTCAGAAACGGCAGCTATATAGATGATGGCATTAACATCTTCAAAACAGTGAATCCATTTTTTACGTTCTGATCGTTGACCACCCACGTCAAACACCCTAAAAAGATTTTCTCTACAACCTTAATCCTGCTTGGAGATTACCGAAAATGAACTTTCTTTATTATAAATCCCACTTCGACTATTCCGGTTGTTTTTATTCTTGTCAAGAGAATATCTTTGTCTGTTATTTGATAATTTGGATCGGAAATACGCTCAATGTTGTCGAAAAAACTAAAAAAAGAAATAAAAATGATTTATGCAGGTCATAAACGTACTGTTGGCTGCTTTCATGTAAATGATTTTCTAAACGTTTCTCTTCGTAGACTGTCTTCACAGCTTTATCTTTCCATAAACTCTGGAAGATTCAATATGATAATCATGAACAAAGCGAGTTGAGAGTGGAGTGAGTTTTTATTGGTGAAAGTAATGTAACTTGCGCTGTTGTATACCTTTAAGGCGGACGCTAATTCAGATGTTGGAGGCTCTTCCTCCCTATTCTGCTTGACCCATTCAAAGACTTGCCGAGCATCAGCCTTCAATTGTACTTTTAAACAGAATCGTATGATACTTCACAGAAATACTTATGTAGTCTATTCATTATTGACTACTAAATTAACAAAATTTTTCAAACTTTACCTCTCTGGAATGATCAGAAAGCTGCACGTTGTACTTTTGCATTGTTTTCAACAAACCAACCATGGCTGATATTAAGTTATTATAAACTACCTTGAAATGAAAATTTTTTTGTCGGAAAGTAAGTGTGAACTTGTGAACGAACCTTCTTTTGCCATTCCATTTCTTCTTGGGAATATTCCTTTTTGTGTAATATCCTCATCTGTTTGAGTACTGTGCTTTTGCCACATTCTCCAGCTCCTGAAAAGTTTATTATAATTTCTGTCATGTGGAGTGAAGAAGTGTGATAAGAAGAGAGGAAAAAACAGCAAAGTGAACGCAAATTTGGCAGACAGACAGATAAGGTGGGTTACCATGGTTATCCGAGCATAATCACTATGTTTCTATCTATACAGCTGTGAACCTTTTTTTTCATCGTACGAAATAAGAAATAGAAGAGGAAGAAGAAGAAGGGAAGAAACAGTTGGAACATACCGAGAAGAAGTAGTTTCACTGTTCGTTCATCATGAGATTGATCCTGCTTAATCTGACGGTCTATTTGTCGACTCTTTTCTCCTTTGATTTTTTCTTCCTCACTCTGACATAAACCCATTTCTGGAAAGAATATTGTTAATGAGCTATGGGAAAGAATAATGAAAAGCAGAAGATGAGAAGAAGAGCAAGAGAATGTGCAAGAAGTTAGAACGATATGAGGCGAGAAGGAAAACTCACAAATCACAAAGTTTATGAAATTCGATGGAAGAAGTTGAAAATGAGGAAATATTAAATATTCTTCGATTGTTTATGTACTGAACACAGAATAAATTCTTAGTTTATCAACAAACCTGAAAGTAAATTGAGGGAAAATTATAAATTCTGAAAAGAACATGAGATGGAAGAATGACGAAGTTCATTACGAATGAGAAGAGGGTGGAAAAGAAAATGGAGGGTCGCCAATTACAAGTGGAAAGTGTCAGCACATAATACAACGATGTAGAAGCACGTTGATCTCCGTCTGAAGCTTTTTGGAAGCAAAAAACTTTTTTTTTCGTCAAAATAATTCAGATTGAACTTTACCAAAATGTTGAAGGCATTAGCGTTTGAAACATACAAAAAACAAATAAAAGTGAACGTCATGATTGCATGTCTTGACATCATCTAAGCTAGTCAATTTCAGAGAATGATATTGAGCAGGTAGCTTGTGTACAAATGAGAGATCAGGAGAAAAGAATTACTTCGGCTTTTTGACGTAAAACTTCCCAGAGGACAGCACTTTCTGTGAAAATAAAGTATTAAAGAGGAGACTGAGACATAGAGGGGAAAATGTCTCAGAAGAACTAGCAGAAAGAGAATTATTCAATGAAAAGAGAAAGAGGGAGAGCGAGAGAGAAAAGAGGAAGAGGTATCAAACGCGCGTCTTTATTTGGCACCGCCCTTTAGAAGTTCAAATGAAATTAGAAAATTAAGAATTTGCAAACGTTCTATATTTGGATAAAATTGATTAAAGATGAGAAGAATCTTGAAATATTCTTAAAAACTTAAAATCAAATAGCCTATTCTCAATATGAAAAAAGTATTTGAAATGCAAATAAAAACATTGAGCAGATTGTCTGGAAAGTCTTTAATTAAGGGAAGGATATGAGTATGTGCTTCGTTGCACAGATCCGAAGACACAATGAGAAAGATAGATTGAACGAATATGGGCTGGCAAAAGCTTCTTGAGAAATGCCTCTGTTCCACACTTGCTTCATATTCCCATCTGATTCAAAGACAAACTTGTTACTCTAGTCACAACTTTCACCGGAAATTTAGGAAGATTTCATGTGAGAATTTCTTTTTCTGCTTTTGTAAACAACAAACGTTCTTAAAAAAAATGGAGAAAAATCATGAGAATTGTGACTCGGAAGTCGAGAAGTCAACTCAAATGTCTGCTGAATGACTTGTGAACTTACTGAAAACAGAAAAAAAAACAAAGTGGACTGCAAGTTTTAATGAGAAATTCCATAACATGTGGGAGAACGACAAGATTTCATAAACTGTTGAGTTTAGAACAGCACAAAGGAAAGGAGGGAGAATATAGCAGAACTGGCCTAAACCTCCTCCTCCTCCGTTTTTTTTATTTTACTTGGAATACTACAATATCTTATTAAATTAGATTTAATAGAGCCGTTATCGAACGGAATATGGGAATGAGTATTTTGAGTGAAATTGAGATTCGATGTCGACAATTAAAGGCAACAACGAATGCTTTCAGATAAGAATTGATTGAAATGAAGGTGAATGAAGTAAAATGCTCTACTTATGTATATATATGTGTATTTTCTATATTTAGGCCACACAAATTAAAAATTAATCCGAAAAAATAAGTTAAAGATTGATAGTTTTTTCTGTTCGTAAGTAATTAGGAGATGAATGAAACAAGAAAAGAGAGAAACGAAGGATATGTGAACGAAGAGAGAGGGGATACATAGACTAAGAGGTAGATCGAAAGAGAGAGAGAGATGAAGCAAAGGCAAGAAGGCAGAGAGAGTACATTAGTACTGAAAAAGTAAATCCAAAGGAGAATGGTGAAATAGTACTGAGAGAAATAATCAAAATGAGAGGGCATTCCAAGGAAAAGAGAAAATGTTCTGAAGAATTCTAATCCTGAAATTTTGAAAGAGAGAAAATCTTGTGTGGGGAGGCGATGGGAGGAGATGTACGTGTGGAATGTGATTTTTGTAAAATACCGTTATTGTAGAGCTTGATTGGACTTGCATTCAATGAAATCACAATTCAGCTTTTAGCCGTTAAAGAACCTGAAAAACAACTTTTGTCGTTTCTATAACGACTATCAAGTGCACCCATTCTGTAAAAAAAATTTATGCGGGAAGTGAAAGTAATAACAAGCAGAAGAAAACCTTTGGAAAGTCAGTAGGTGTTAAAGCAATAAAGAAAAAAAGACGATAGGGTGAGAAAATATGGTTGAAGAGACAAAATAGTGAAGAGACAGAAAGATCATGTGAAGAAGAAGTAAAAAGGTGAAAATAAAGAGACTAATGAGGGAGAAAATAGATTGAGAGAGAGTTATGGAGAAAAGAGAGAGAGAACCAATGAGTAGAAAGATAACTGCATCTAGAGAGAAGAGGGAAGCAAAGATAAAGAGATTGAAAAATATATTGAGTTGGTGAGAGAGGGGGAGAAAAACAGAAATTGAAAAGAACAACCGTTCCTCAAGTCAGCACCGAACAAAATGAAACTTGGCCTGCTGCAGCCAGTTAGCATCTGAATTTAAAAAAATGCGTTTTTCGGACTTCTGATGCAAATTGTTCTAGCGATCGATTTGATGGAAATTGTCCAATGTGACTGTTGAATAAATTTGTTGTTGAAAAGTCTTTTTCTCTTTCTGTCTCTTCATCTCATCATCTTGAGCAACGACGATGGTAAAGAAGCAAAGTCTAAAAATTGAATTCCAAAATTTTATCACCAGAAATAGATATGAGTACATGAAAGATAGATAGAGAAAGTAAAATATGAAAATGATAGTTAAAGAACAATAAATAAAGAAGAGAAAATACGTAATTTTCTCTTAGTTTTCTAAATAAATAAATAATTATACAAGAGAAGTCGATAAGCGTCAGTAGTTGGCAATAATTCAGTTGACTTTTGGAATTCCAGCCACGACTCCGCCCTCGATACCACATTCATCATTTCCTCTTAAAATTTTGAAGAAACCTGGGTGAAGTAAGGTGATGTTAGATAATTATTGATATTATGATTATGAAACCTTTCTCTCCCCAGTCAGTGCTCCAAGAATTGGCAACGAGCCAATAGGGAACATCATTCTGCTCACCCCATCCAATAAGTTTGACCGCATGTCCACCTGCTAATTCTCCAGTCACATGCTTCAATTCGCAAAAATAGATTATTAATTTTTAATGGAAAAACCTTATAAACGCCAGATTTGTAATTCATGAAATCAGTGTAAACTTCGAATGCAACTTCAACTGGTCCATATGTCATAAGCTCTTTCTGGATGGCTTCGACATTGTTGGCAACGCCATATGACGACAAGCCTAATTAAGGGTTTCCAAGATGATATATGTAATTAGAGTTTAAAATTACCATAATGCTTATCTTTATGATAATCTTTATGATATGATGATGCACATTTCTTTGTGCATTTTGGCGTTTTGAAAAGTCCATGCTTACAAGTATCATAATGTGTGTCATTCTTCTGTATATGACCACATGAAGGAAATGGGTATGGAAGGCATGTGCTCTGAAATGGTAATTGAAAATAAAACTTTGTTTATGTCACTATCTCTCTATTTTCCTCTTTCTCTCTCTTTATCATTCTCTTTTCTCTAATATGAGTAGGAGAAAGAACAAGATCAGAGAGAAAAAAGATTATTCTTTCTTTGAGTATTACATTATCTCCGTAATCACCGCCAGAAACGAGCCCAGTCTCCACCCAATAATCCCATGCTTTATTTGGATATCCACCATTACATCTTAAAATACATCATTGATAATTCTTCCTTCTTCAACTGCCACTTTCGCTCTTTCTTTTATTCTATTCCTCTTTCCCTCTCTCTCTCTCTCTATCTCTCTATCTCTTCAATTTGCCTTCTATTCTTACCCTTCTCCACACTCTGAGCAACAAGCTAATAAATCATCAGCAGCTAACTTGGGCTTAATCAACCCGTTCGAGGCAATACAAACTCGATCAGTGATAGCTTCAGCTGCTCCGAAAGCCCAACAAGAACCTATGGTTAAATAAGATTAGAGCATGTGGAAACAAATAAGACATTAAAAATTAAGAAAAAGATGAAGAAACATTATATCTCACCACAACTACTCTGATCACGAATGTTTTGAATTGATTCACACTGTGGCCACCATGTGCGTGCATCAAACTCATCAGGAATAGAAAGGTTCAAATATCTTTGATACAAAATGAATTAGATATCATAACATGTTGGATTGAATCACCTTGTGACACTTAGCTTTTGCTTGGCTTCAATGGGCAAATGAATATTCTTGACTCCCATTAAACTTTTTTTGGAGAACTCGCTGTAAGTTGAGAATCTCTCATGCTTTTCAGCCTACAATCGAAGTAGATATTATCATTTCAGAATATAATTAACATACAATCCAAAAATTTTGATTTTCGTTTATGAATTGAACCATCGCGTCATCATCTGAATATATATTATATTAAAATCGTAAAATTAAATTACATATATTTAATTTACCTTGATTAACGTTGTTAGCTGTGATAATTGCGGGCAGAAAAAGCAGAAAACTGATCTATAAAGATATATGCATTAGATTATTCAAGAAAAGAAAGAACAAGTAGTAAAGGACTCAATGAAGCCATACCATTTTCATTTCTTTCAGATTGTTGGCTGCAGTGACTTCTTTTGTGACTGATGCAGCTGCTTTGATAGAAGCTCATGCCTGCAGAACTTCTGGCTCACCTTATATGGTCAAGCTTCTGCAACCTGTTCAAACATATCCACCAAAAACATTTTCATCAATAACTATTTTTTAAAAATATATATTGTTTATTGTTGTGTTAAACAAAACAAAATAATGAAAATCAAGATGTGAATATCTGAATGCAGACAGGCCATTTTGCGGCAGATTGTTTGTTTTACAGAACTCAAAACAGTTTGTTTTGTAGAAATAAATATGAAAATCTTTTTTTTTTCGCTTTCCTATCTTCATTTCAAATAAATAAAAAATTCGTTTCTCTTCCTTCTATTATTTTATTTTTTTTTAAATTCATTTTTTTTCAAAAAAAAAAAAAAAAAGTTTGAAAAACAACCATTCCGCTTGTGTCATTTAGATGCAAATGATATATTCTGGATATTAAAGTAGTCACGTGCTGCTGCTGATATTACGTATGCTAATTAGTCTCATTTATGCTAATTTCTATTAAATAATCATTGTTATGTTTTGTGTTCAAACACACATGCCGATCAAAAGAAGAAGAATATAAAGAAATTTTCGGTCTATATTCTTTCTTTTTTTCTTTTTTCGTCGTTCAACTTCTTCATTTACCTTCTTCATCGAGCTCTTTCATCTATCTTAATCTCAAATAATTATAACCAACGATTCATTAGGTATAAACAATAATCATATGAAAAAAGCCTATAAATTAGAATATTCGTTGCATTTTCCTCGTTTCAGAATATGATTGTGTCATTGTGCTGCGAGGTATCTTCAATTATCTCTGTATTATTGAGCAAAGGATAAACTCCATCTAAGCCGTGTTTCGTTTTGACGCTTTGAATGATCGCACCCCATACATCTTTGATGATTATCGGAACAATCTCTTTCACTCCTACAAATGGTATGAAAGACTCTGTTTTCTATATACAACAACAACACTATCATTAAGTTTAACTGACCTTTAACGATACCGTAATCTGTATTACACTCCTCCGCTCTTATGCATTTTCCTTCAGCTAACTCACGTGCTAACCCGGCTGAACAGATGCAAGCTTTTTTGCAGGCAGTCTTAAAATAATATTTCAAAACTTAGCTGTTTGATTTATCACCATGTTTTGCACACGTAAGCAGTTATGGCTCTGTTATATCAATGAAACATACCATAGGACAAGCTTTTGACAACTGAGCACAGGATATTTCACAATCAGCACAAGCCCACGTTTCATTAGCTCCACATTTTCCTTCAATTATACTATCTGTTTTTCCATATTTTTTTTGACATTAAGCTTCAGCTAATTTGGGAGAAGAGGACCAGGAAGAAGATTTGGAGAAAAATAGGAAAAGAAAATGATTGATGTGGTATATGATAAAGAGAGCGAAAAAGGAAGAGAGAGAGAGAGAGAGAGGTTTATGGAACGAAAAAGAAGCACAGCAGAACTTACGTTTGTTATGCTTTTCAGAGAATAATTGGTTTTTAGTTATCCAATTAGCGTTCGGATAGCATTCTGGATGAGCATTCTTCAATCTAATCTTTGATATGAAAAATGAAACTTCAAATTAACCTGTTGTCCAGTTCGAACCCAATATTCGCACAAATCAATGTAAGATTGACAACAACATATTGAAAGAATCTAAATATGATAATAATGAGACTCATATCACAATTATATGCTAATTCTTACAAATAAATAAAATCGGATAATGTGTCTGAAATACATCTGAAGAATAGAGATATGACGAGCAATTAAGGAGTTTTGATGACGACAAGACGACTGACGACCATCGAATGTTTCTCATTTTCATTTCATTATCTCTAAAGAAAACAGACCCTAAAAAAGTGCGTGATTGTGTGAAATCTGTACGATAATCTGATTTATAACTCACGAATGTGAGAAGACGCTTTTTATTTTTCGAAAATAGAGATTAGTCTTCCGTTCTCTGTCCTGATCATTATTCTTCTTCTAATGACTGTGTATGAGTAATCAAAATTACTGACTCATATATATGTATTTGCATGAAAGCTAATTAGCATTCACTTCAAATTTCAGGTGTGCATGATGTTCTTGATGTTCTTGATGTTCTTCATTCGTTTCTATTTCATTGTTGATGAGCAGCATGCAGTGAGCGGTTGTGCTTTTTGTCAATGACCGATTGTAAGATAAAAGCTTATAATGAATTGTTTATTAAACATTTCTCTATATTTTAATATAAAAATCTTTGAGGGTTATATATATATACACAATGTTATTAATTATAATGATGATAAGTAATTAAAATATGGAATAATAGAAGATTGAAAGCGAGTATCTACCCGGATTAATACTGTATTCTTGATAGAAGTAGCTAGAGTTGTTGGTAAGATAATGCATGAATATATATTCTTTTATAAATTATATGAAAGAGCTTGATGAAAGCACACAGAGATGAGATAAGAAAATCTTTGATTCTCCTTGTTTTTTATGTCAAAAGTGATAGCTTGAGGCGTTAAATTCGAAAATATTGTTTTACGCAGCCCAACTAAGACGACGATATGATGAATCATAGCATATGGATGGGTATTCTGGACAATCTGGCATACTGTAACCTCGAGGATGAGGATAGTGTGAAAGGAAAGGAGCAGGTGGTGGATGTGCAGAAGCTGTAGATGGTAATGGCGTAGTCTGAATTATTTCAGACTCTTTTGTGGGATACGAAGCCTGGAGAGGTGTGACGAGAGCTGGATGAATGTATCGATAAGCATCATGAGCTTGTTGAGGTGAATGATTCGTAGATATGATACTTGCTACAGGAGCTGCAGCACAACGCTGATGGCTGACAGATGGTTGTTCCACCTAAAGAAATTATAAATATATATTGTTTTTTGAAAACTGTAGAGTACTGTATACTGAATACAATAGAGATAGAAAACTCACTTGGCGGAAAAATTCGTCCAGATCATCACGAAGATCAGGTAAAGTTCCTTTAATGGCATGCATTTCTCCAAATAAAGGATGAGATTCAAGTGCCGGCATAGGCTGTGAGAAAAGAGAAGAATGAAGAGATGAAGATGATTCGGGAGATGAGCTCTCCGGTGTGTACATGGGATTACCAGCCATCGCTTTATATGGAATCTCAACTTTTATCTAAATTTCTACATGAATATGCTTCAAACAATTTTTTATCACCTGTTGACAGGGATTTGTATAAACGGGCATGGCAGTGGGAGGTACGGAAAACGGTTCCTGTTTGATTTGAACTCTAAAATCATTACGGAATGTTTCGGCTGCTGATGCGGTTGGAATGTCAGGAGAAACAGGTGATACCACTTTGTCCTAAATATATATAAAAGGTTGAAAATAGTTCAATTAAAGTATTATCAAACATCAGTAAGCGGAGAGTCTTGACAAGAGAAGGAAGCAGGATATGTGTGTCGCATACTGTAGATCCAATTATTTGCTTGTAATGTAGCAGCTTCCAAGTCTCTGAAACAAACACTTCATAATTTCAATATAGAAAGAGCTTTATACGTCAGAATTTGATGATAGCAGTAGATGACATGGCGGATACGCTTTCCATCTCTGACTTCTTGAGTGAAGCAAGCTCGAATTGCGAAAACCTAATTATCAAAGTAAAAATTTATAGTATTATTTTTTGTGTTACCGTATGAAGCCATATCCATCTGCCGTCAGCCGTTTGTATCTTAAACAGCGAAAGTACCGAACCTTCCTTTTCTTGACACACTGAAGCAATTATCATATATTAAAAATTCTGATATTATTTCTTACATAAACGATGCTTATACGCCAACTCCGGAACATGTGAGGGATGGACAAGTTGATACCAACTGAGCTGATCAACAGCTTCCTTTGCATAACCCAAATGATGTAGAAACCTTCAGAGCAATTTTTGTCAAACAGTTTGATTGAGATGAACTTACATATTATCAACCTCTTTGAAAGTCATATCCAAGAAGTGTTGAGTGGAGAAAACTGTTGTGTTGCCGTTAGATAAAGCTTCAGCGTTCTCAGGATTGATGAGGGGATGACAGTAGGCGGCAAATATAGGTTGCATCTAAGAAAAAAAGTATTTTTCTAATTTTCAAATGTTAGCTTACCTGGTTCAAAGAAGTGTCATTCTTATTAGAAGAATGATAGTATTCAGCGGGATGAATATATCTTCCTTGAAGCAAGATGAACTGAAAACAGAAGCTTTATAGGATACGTTTTAGAATAATACTAACGAAATTGGAATTTTATCAGAAAAATGAATTTTATTTAAAAATAACAATCTAATTGTACCTTATGGTATTGCAATTGACGCTTTGCAGCAGCTCTCGTGAGATTCAAGCGACATATGAATGAACGTTCATCCGGGAAAGAAGCTGACTGAGGAGGTCCACTACCTAACTCATTCTGTAAATGCATCTGTTGAAGATCACGAATGAAAAAGAAATGAAGTTAATTAACATACTTGAATAGTTGAATGATCTCTGTGGTCAACCAAGTCATATATAGAGTCCCCTTGGCACATAATTTCTTCAACAGAATGTCCCAGATATTCACAAGCATTGTCAGACACGTGAAGCATTTTTCCACTTCGTGTGAGCATCATCATGAAGCCTCGTAGTGTTTTTCCAACTTCAATTCCTTTCGGAGTATTGTTGAGTGGTAAGAAATTTTGTACAACTGGAAAAGACAGTTATAGCAAAGGAGAGATAGAGATAGATGATTGAAGTGTGATCAGCAAGTTCTAAGAGCAGTTACTCACCATGTGATAAATAGCGGTGCTTTCTCATATAAATACAGCCTAATGACATAATTTGTAATTGATATAATCGATCTTTGATAGAATCTGATAACGGCAGCAAATCGCGTAATCGTTGAATTTCAATATTGATCTGATCTCGTCGTTGCTTTGAAGCTCCTCTAGTTGATCTGCAATACATCAGTAGTTTCCCTGTCCAATCTTCATTTGGTATTTCTCTCTTTTCCATTCACACTCCTACTTGCACTTCAACCTCACTTTTACTTTGATAGTTGAAAATGAAAATTGAACAGTTCGAAAAAGGGTCTGTTAAAAATATTTAGTTCTCTAGGAAATTCGTATTTACTTATTGTATTTGACCTTCTGTGACGTAGTCTATTGACTATGTTAATTTCATCGTTTACGTGAAGAGAGAGAGTGAGAGAAGAAGAAAAGAAGAAGTGAGTTAAATGATGAAAGAAAGAGGAAAAGATCTCCTTATTTGTTCATTCAAAATGGACATACAACACACTACTACAAATATTGTTTACTCTTTGTCTCCTTCGCTTTTCTGGTCATTTACACACACGCGCTCGCGCGCTCATCTAGAGAATCCGAGAAATGCAAAAAAAAGAGAGAGGGAAATGAAATAAAAACTAATTCTTAATTATATCTAATTAGTTTCCATTTCCTCAATCAAAAATTTTATCAACCAGATGTTATATTCACGGCACAGTAATCTGGCCCACAGATGACCACTACATAGTGATTACGGTATAGTGGGATGGAATACAGTATCGAAAAATAATTATCAAGAAGAATCAAAAATATTGGTCATTGCTGTGCGTAATGAGCGGTTAGGTTAAAGAAAATATTTCAAACAATTTCAGTACGTGAAGTCATTTAACAATCCGGAAGTTCTCGGAGAATTTCATAAGTTATGAGAAGTAAGGAAGGAGAGAGTATCTCAACGTATGTTATAGTAGAAATGCACGCTGTAAGATGAATCAAAACCACAAGAAGTTAGAAAACCATTTCAAGAATAAAATAAAATCTTATAAGCACAAACCGTTGCGTGGCTGATGAAAAATTGGAAATACAATTAGATAAAGATGAAGAAGATCTGCCATCAGACGATGCAGACGATGATGAAACGGCACATGATGATGGCTGTTGCTGAACCACTGCCGTAGTCATCAGGGAAGGAAATAGAGGAACAGAAGTGGACATTGACAGTCTCCACTACTTCTTCTGTGATGTTCCGTTATTTCGTGTATACCATCGTGGTCGTAGACGGGCAAATCGTCCGGTCACGCCCCGAGGGCAAAGGTGCACACGTCATCATCACGCAAAACTTTCACTCTTAGGCTTCCTTCCGCTATCCCTCTCATAATCATCTGCTCTTTTCTCTTCACTTGTCCATTTCTATCCCTTTTCCTCTTCTTTCACAATTCTGTGACGTCACAAATTCTTTGCTTGTCTTTGCATCGTGGGAATGAGCAAATACTGTATTATTTCAAGAGATACCAGAGAATGGTCAGTTCAAGAAGATAAAAAGAGAAGAGGATCATAAGCTTAGCAATTGATAGAGTCTCCTATTTGAATTAAATTGAAACTTCTATATAATCGAGATTTCGATGAAGGTATAGTACTTCCGTTAGAAGCTCTTATCGTTCTTTTTTTTCCTGGGGTAAATGAAAGATCAGCTTTTGTGCTGCAGCTGAGCATTTTTTTGTAGATGCTCTTGAGTCAAACAAACATCCTATTCAAAGCTTTTATTTTACGATTCATGTTAACAACATGGTTTGTTACAATAACTATAATCATATTCATCAAATTACAACTGCATAATAGAGTGTGAAAACTTAATTTACAACATTAGACGGCACGCGACAACTTCATAATACTTCTATGTAAATGTTTGAGCACTTCCTTCTGTGACGTCACAAAGGTCAAACAGGCAAGACGGATATGTAAACAAGAATGAGCGAAAACGAAATAATCGAGTTCATCAAAGAAAGATTTTGTATAGTTTATTTAGCATGAACTACTTAGATGAGCTGTATTTAATAATCTTCTCCTCTTCACATACATTACAATATTGTCTCATTTAGAATATTTCCTCCTCAACCTGTTTCGTTCATGATAGTAAAGGATGTCTTCCATTAATGTTTGTATTTTCTCTTTCATATTTTGTATTATCTAAAAAGGTATAAGAGTAGTAGTGAGAACATACACTGTATGCACTATGTGTAGATAGAGAAAAGGAAATGAACACTGTTGCAACCGCACGCGCGCAAGCACTTTTTCAAAAATGAATGAAAACCACTTCACGTGTGTTTTACGTGGTATTAAAGTATGTCAGATGTTGGCTTTTGCAAACCATTTCATGTACTTTGGCGAACTTACAAACTATCCTTACTCTCTTTCTTTCATTAAATATTAAAAGTTTACTACAGTGAGTGGTACTGCTTACCTCTTCTTCGAGATCATTACTTGTGATTATGTCTGTAACACAGACGAACAACGGCAAGGTGTAGAACCCAACAAGAGGAAACAGACGATAAATTGACTCTTCGAGCTAAAACTTTCACAAAGTTTCGAAAAAGAGTAAGATCAGTCACTCACAGCGTCGAATGTATATGGTATTTGTCCATCGCACTTTTTGATGAAGTCCGAGTAAAAGTCTTTTATGAGAAAATCGAAATACTGTTTTCTATCCTTTCCGCTCAGACAGGTCAACAAAGTTCTTAACACATCAACAGCTGGGGTTGAGAATGATGTGCTCTGTAAAATTGAAGACGAATAAGATTTTCATTGCTCGAAAGTAATATAAACCTGAAAATCTACTAAAGCTCTGGGATATATGCTACCATCTTCTGAGGATTTTTGAAAAATGATGTTTCCAGCCCAGATGTCACCATGTGTCAATTGCTTTGGAATACCTGATAAGATACACTTGAAAGCACAAACTACAGAATAGATCTAATGAGAAAGGCCACAATTGAGAAATACCATATTAGAGAGAGAAAGTTGTAAAGAAATACCTAGTTCATCAGTGAAAGTGTCAAAAATCGATAAATCCATAATCTCCGGTATTTTCTGTGAATAGAATAGAAGAGAGTAAGAAATAGAAAAAACTTTGATATAAACCTTCTCCAATTCATTTGTGATTGACTCAAGTTCATCAAAACCATGTTGTCGGATCATGCGAAGAACACTCTGCTGCGTCTGAAATTTTAAAATATATATGAATAGAATATTAATATAAACATGGCTTTTCGTCATATCGATGACTCGATCCTCAAAAAAATTGACATTCAACTGCTTCTCTTCATCAGAAAATTTTGTTCCAACAGCTTGTAAAGAGGCGACCATGTGCAAGATCTGAATAAGAAAGAGATTTGTCTTTCACATATCTGTCTATTAGGACATACCTGTACAACTTGAGAAATCTGAAAGTTATGAAACTGATCAATACTGACAGCTTCATCAATGTACTGCATTATAATGAATCCTTTTTCATATTCTTCATTCATTCGATTACAATAATATGTCTGAAAATATTTTCACAAATATTTAATTTGAGAAAGAAAATCGAAATTTTTTTGTTTGAAAAAATAAAAAAAGGAAAATCACCTTTACAACAGGGATGATTCCATTGGTGTTGTGATTATTAAGTACTTCATAGATTCTACATTCATTGTTGTGCAACTGAAATCATTCAAAAATCCTATATTATCTTTCTCTTTTTCTCTCTCTTTCTCTGTCACTCTCTAACTCTCAAATTACTTTTCTCAAGTTCAATAAACCAAACTGTATTTGGAGCTCTTCTTTTGCATTCACCAGCGGCTCTTTATTTTGTGAAATCAAATTTTCCGACATTTCCAGAATTGACATGAGTGTGCTGATCTGTGAGAATTATAACCATATTTGAATTTCAACTTTGAAAAAAAATTATATTATGATTACTTTTATCAAAATGATTTCAGGCAGATCAGTTGTACTTTCTGGCCAGTCAGGTTTGATCAAACACATCTTGGACATGAAACCCTAAATACAACTTAAGAAATATAAGAAAACGAGAAGATGCAAATTAACGAACTTTCATTTGAGCAATGTTGGTGAATGATGAGTTTCTTCCGAATTTCACATTTTCTCCAAAAATGATTTTACATTTTTCCTCGATATCACTAATAGAAACATCCGTTTGAAAAAGGCCATTCTGCTTGAAAGGCAACATGTCGTCTGTCAAATAGAAGATGTTGCATTAGACGAATGATTAAAGCAATTCTCAACAGAAGGTATGATCGAATTAACGATGAAATGAATTGTAGAAGACATTAAAAATGAAAACAAAAATAATAAAAAAAATAATATGTATTAGTTGGTGATGAGATGGTTGTGAGAAAGGGGTAAGAGGTGGGTGGCATGGAGGACTTCTATTGTAGGCGTCCTATGATGGCAAAAGGGTTTCAATTGGAATAGAGGGGGAGGAGAGATGTCATCATATGATTCAATTGCATTTCTTAAAATATTTTTTTTGATTCAATCTAACGCTCCAGTTGATACCAATTATCATTTTTGATAACAAACGACGATAAATAACCTATATCACATATTTAACAACACACTATAAAATACATTTGTAATCTTCTCTTATCCAATAATTGCAATGAAGATTACGCTGATCTTCAGTCATGCCCGTATAAGGAATACACGTTTTATTATACAATTCATCTATTATTTAATATGTTTTAATTAAATTAATTGTATATTGCATCATTACCTGATGAAGCGCACTTGTTGTTCTCATAATTCCACATATAGGTGGAGCTGTCGGTATTTCCATCAAAAATATCAGTTTTTGGTAAGTCTGATGACTGAATGAAAATGATAAAGCTTTGATATAAATATGAAAAATCACAAACGTTCATCAGTTCAGTCATTTTGGAATATAGATATTCGAATGTTGGACGACAGTTGGGGTAAGTTGCCCAACAATCTTGCATCAGTTTATAAAGCTTCAATTGAAATGAATAAACAAACGAATTGAAAATGGAAACAAGTATTTTTAGAATATGAAGTAAAAAATAAAACAACACAAAAAAGGAAATTTACCTTCGGCGGAGTTCCGTAGGGAATACAGAGACGTTCACCATCACGCAAACGTTCAACAACTTCTTGAACTGAATCTGTTGGATAAGGTATTGTTCCCAATGAGAATATTTCCCAGCAGAGGACGCCTACAAAGCACAATTTCGTTCTCAGTTCGGATATAAAATGACGATATATATTTTTACCGAATGACCAAACATCCGTTTTTGAACAGAAGAAGCCATCATCGATTGCTTCCAATGGCATCCACTTAATCGGAATCATGGTACGAGCACGTGAATTTTCACTAAAATTTTTTAAAAAAATAATTCGTTATAATAATATTAATAATTTTTGAAAACGAACCTATAGAGTTCATTTGCGAGACCGAAATCGCCTATTTTGACTCGCATTTCGGGTCCTAAATGAGTTAACAAGCAATTTCTAGCTGCCAAATCTCGATGAACATATTGTAATTTCTCAATTATGGCACAGCCTACAAAAGTTACAAGTTTTTTCTTAAACAGTTTGTCTTGCCTTGAGCAATGTCCAAAGCTATTTGCATGAGGCGGTAAGATGATATTTGTTGAGGGTTTGCAGATTCCTAAACGACAACAAAAAATAAAATTTCAACTTCCGCGTTTGATTTAGTCTCAAAAAAACAAATTCAAAGATGTACTGTTGTTGGTCGGCAACTTCTCAGATAATCTAGAAGACTTCCTCCTGCCATGAGTTCCATCACGACCATATGTGGAATTTCTTCAAAAGAAGCTCCAATCACCTTAATTGTAGCGTCTTCCGCTGTGTTGGATGTTCTTGAGAAGATTGAATTTATGAAAAAAATGTTATTTATTGTACCTCATGAAAACAGCTTCGAGTATGAACTCACGTCGAGCTGATTCTGTCTCCATCAGTTTCTCATTTAAAACTGTAGGATATTTGAAGTCATGACGCTTCAAGTTGTTTGATTCTCTCACCTTTGACAGCGACGTTGACAGACTCATCGTTCTGCTCCATATAAGCTGTGAAAACTTCTCCGAAAGCGCCATATCCGATAACACTATAACACAGATTATTTTGAAGCAGAACAAATACATTTAGTAAAAAAACCTTTTAAAGGTTAGAGTTGATCTGCGTAGAACCGGAAGCTTCTCTAGAAGTTTCGCGTTGTTCAAATGGTACAAATCATCATCTAATTGTGCGCAAGACACTTCAACAACCTGTACCTTCAGAGGAACACGCGAAAAACACAAAATTGCAGAAACGGAAGTACAAAGAACAGAATACCTGATTGTCATCAAGGAGCTTAATTGTTTGGTAAATGAAGCTTTTTAGAATTTCGTACAACTGTTTAACTTAAGCAAGAAATGAGGGAAAGCCTAAATGAAAGAAGTATACCATGAGCTAGAGAACGACGTGTTGTTATAATGAACATAATTATCAAAGTAATTATTACGCCATGTTTACAAAGATTAGCCATATAATCACGAAACGATATAATCTCATCTGAAAGAAGATGCAAAGAAGATAATGATGTTGAATTCCTTATTTTTGTTTTGCTTTTCTAAATTATAAATGATTACGGTCAAAACAGTATGGGCTGGTTGAGAAGTCGTCAATAGCGATGAACTCCATTTGTAGATGTCGATGATAACGAGCATTGAACTCCAAATAGTAAGGCAAAGGCTTAAAACATGGTCATCGTATTCATTTTCGCTAATTGATTTCAAAAAGATATTACTTGACGTCCAATCACGACTATTGCTCGCTTCCAATGACAGGCTCTAGAAAATCTGTAAAAATGTGTCAAAATAAGAAAAGGCAATTGATGAAGTAGACGAACGATGAGATGTGCGGAATGTTCCATAATCTTCTTGTTTGGTTTCGAATATTCCGGATGTACAGAGAGAAATCATAACTTTCCTGATTTGTACAGTAATCAAACCGTATCTGAAGCATTCATTTGATTATGCTAATAAGTGAGAGAGCTGGGGGTTGAGTTACCGTACCGTACACAGTTGTGAATTGGAATTAGAAGGATAGATGGGTGTTCGCAATGAGTTGATCCTTTCTTTTGATCCCATATTCTTGAGTATTCTTGGAGAGAATATCAGATATTCACCTTCAAAAGGACAAACTTGTTTGTTGCAGAAAAAAAAAGAACAAAAAGAAAAAGATGAAATGATGACAAGAACCTCGATGTGGATGACGTTCATCGGTAGAGATAAGAGACTTAAACATATCATAACTTGAATTCTTATATGTGATTGAACTTTTAAAAACGGTCGCCTGCAACAAAGATTATAAATAGAATGTGTGATATAGTAAACGGATATGTATATTTACTTCATTTCTTTCATTGAAAAGTTCAAGTGACCATCTAGGACAGAGAATTCCATCATTGAAGTTACATTGATAAGGCAAAGTTCTCTCTGAACGAAATAATAAACATGCATGATAGAATGTTGTTAATGAGATTATAATTATCATGAGAATGATGAGAATACAAACCACAGTCTAGTTCATCGCTACCATCGGGACAGTCATATGACTTATCACATTGAATATCCTCAAGACAGACAGTTCGGTTATTAACAGTACATAAGAATGGATTTAAAGCATTTGGACATTCTGATAACTCATTTTCAATTAAAATATCTATAATGTAATTATGATAAATTGATATTATAAGTTATTGGGAGTTCAATGCTTACCATCACAATTCATCCATGTTATATTGGAAATTCCAATTTCAGAATCGTCATGCTCATGAACGACATGAAAATTAATAGCTGAAGCTTCTGAGATTCGGCCAATTTCAATCGTAATCCATTTGAACTTATTTCTAAGAAATATACAGAGTCATATGATATAAATAGAAACTTATATACCCTTCCTTATTAAGCTTCGTCACATTTCTAATCACATTAAACTCTAAAATTAGAATATGTCGTAAGCGGCATATAATCAAGATTGAGACATACGTTTATCATACTTTCTCATTTTAATAATTTGGACCATAATATGTGAAGAGTGTCGACGAATATAGTAAAACAGAGACAGAGTGCACTATAACGAACGTTGCAAGTCAATAATGGATAATTGAACATAATGCTGAATACCTTTTTAGAAGATGTTAGATAGTAAGGACTTGTAAGCTGAATAGATTTTGTCGCTCTTTTACCCATTTTTGATTTTAAATAGAAATTCACAGCTGAAATGAAGATATGTAGTCAATGTGCAGCGAAAACAATGGAATAGAACAACCGCACGCAGGTGCGATAGCAACTGAAATTGTCAAAGCACGCGCATAATTACTTAACGTGTATGCTAATTGCTAACTTCACGTAAAATGTATATACAGCCAATATGCTAATTATATAGATTTGGTAAAACAGTTATTGACATGTATCACGCGTATGCTAATTACGAATACAATGTGCTCAAGCAACACACTCAATCACATGATCAAGAAGTATAGTTGATTTAAAGTTAATTCAAAAATCAAAATTAGAAGAAGAAATTAAAATACATACGGTGTTGTCGCAGTATGACAGCTTCGAATCCTTGAGCTGTCCAATAGCAATCTGATATATTTTGGCATCGATCTAAAGATGAGGGATTGATTCGAAGGAACGTTGGTTTCGTGTAGTGTTAACCATATTTGAGTCCACTTTGTACATGATTATCCGTTGTACAAAGGCAGCCGGGATAACGAAAAATAAAAACATTTCGAGCACATTCATAACCACAACTGCATCCATCTTGACGTTATAATATTGAATATTACAATAAGATATTCAAATTACCTTCTCTCATCGAAATTTCTGTTATGACCCTTTGCCTGTAATGGAATTACGTATTAGACACGGGAGGATATGCTTATAACCTATATAATGTGTCGTTTGCTGTTTTCCAGCATCCTAACATTTTCCAATCATTTTGATATAATTGGACGGAAGTGAATACAGCACATGTTATCTGAAAATATGTATTAACGTGTTGTATGGAGTTAGTATGAAGATACATTTCGTTTGATTTGCTTCAAGACAGCTTCGTTGTTAATGCCGCACGGGTCTAAGAAACGGCTGAGCTTTTGCTGAGCATACTCCAGATGTTCCTAATATGTAAACGTTGTTGTTGTTGGTGGTGAAAAAGATGATAAGACAGTTAAAGAAGATATGGGATTGGAAAGGATGTAGAGAGGTGATGAGAGTAGAGAGATGAGGTAAACGATAACTAACCTTCTGAGTTATGGAAAATATGATTATTTCTCGTTTTCTGCCTATATTACGTCGATAGAATTGAGATATTTGATATAAATTAGCCGGATATGAATAGATCAATAGGATGAGAAAGACAAACTTCGTGATGAAAATCATTGACGAAGTGTGATATGCGAGCAAGCAGCTTTCGTCCACTTTTAATCAAACTTTCTATTTTCTTATTCTTCTTGCAAGAAAATTGTTGTTTATTCCATAATGAGGATAATGCAGAAAGAATATTAGAAAAACGGCGAGAAATTTTCTTCTCTTTCTTTCTTTTCTTTTTTTTTTGATGTTAAAACTGTGATAACGAAATGAGAATCGTTTCTTTTCACATTCGTCTCTCCATCGAGCATCTAGCTTCTGCACCATATTCGTCTGTGGTATTTTCTTTTACTTCATCTCTAATTCTCCTAATTTTCAGCAATATTATTGTCACATCTCCCATTTTCTAATCTCTTATCGTTTCTATGGCTACGTACCCATGGAAAAGCCATAAATCAAAATTTTAAGCTTATACCCTCTTGATTTTTGTTGGCCAAAATCTTATGCTTACACCGCCATCTACCGCAATTGCCTTAAGACCTTTTTAAATCAAAATATAAATTTATTTACTTAATTTCATATCAATATTTTCATCAAATACAACATATTTTTGTTCTAATTTATTTTGAGTCGTAACAGCTATAGCTCTCCATTGACTTTCAAACAAATCCTGAAAAGAATTAAGTTTCTTTTAAATATCTTATGAATTAATTACATCCTCTACAGTTATTAACACTTTGAAGGGAAGTGGAAGAGTACTAGCTGCTTGGGGACAAGAGTTGTAAATAGTTCCTGAAATGATACTCAATATCATCATCGAACGAGTAAAGTGAGACTTACTTCTCCAAAAAGCATATTCACCAGCGGGAGGATTGGCCGTACAAGCAGTTTCCAAAGTTACAGCTTCTACAGGTGCGAAAGTAATGTTTTTGATTTGGAAATCTTTCGCTGATGCTCCATATTCAATTAATGATTGCTTAATCTCAAAAAGAAACTGCTATAAAAACCAAAACTTTTTTTTGCAACAGTACCGCAGAGTTGACATCATTGAATACTTGTTTAACCGCATCTTCCATGTTACGCTTGCCCATTGTTACTGGAGTGCCAACAACGCTCCAATCAACTGGTGGAAATATTTTGGTTGTGAACTCTGCACCTTTTCCAAATGTGCCTTCAAGGAATTAGATTTGAGCATATTATGAAGCAAACTCTATTACCTGGTTCTGTTGGGCAGGCTAAAGTGAAGAGTACGAAGTTGGAAGCTAAAAGAATTGAGAACATTTTGTGGAAGTTGCAAAATGCTCTTGCAACTTGATCCTTATATAGCACAAGAATTGAAACATTTCAATGGATTTTCAAGATATTCACCTCCCACATAACCTTTTTCATTATCTGCAAACATCTTTTCAAATATGAATTCAGGAAAAAATGTTGGTTCTTTTTATCAAAAAATAAATATATAGCAATATCAACTTTTTTTGTTGTGTGTCTAGCTTGAACTTGATTGATAAGTTTTGCTTTAATCAGGGTTATGGAGTAGACAAGAGAGAAGAAAAGTTCAGAGAGCAAACTGTGACGATGTGAGACTAAATTCCCTGAAAAAGATTCGACGAGATCATTACTCTTACAGTGTCTTGTGTCGTATGTTATGATCACATATTTCAATGAACAGAGTGATTGCATGTCCCTTTTTCAGAAATTCTCTCTCTTTCTATATATCTTATATGTTTTTACATTTTTTGTTCTCCTGACATGAATGAACAAAGACTTCTGTAGCAGCAATTTGAGAAGATGGGAAACAGTTATCGCTTCCCATCAGACAGACAGTTGCATCGTGACGAATGCTGTCTGGATAGTGTTATCTACAAATTTTAAATCCCAATGAACCGTCTGATTTTTGATTCTAAAGCCCGATGAAACGAATCAAAAAACAGGAACAGTTCAATTCGGGATGGCGTGATGACCGTTTCAGAATCATAGATCTCAACAAGGTCTGAGAGATGTGAAGCATGTTTTTTACGTCTCAAAAATTAAAGTTTATCTTTCAAATTTTGGAATCTGATACGTTTGCAAGTTGAAAATATTTTATCAGCAGTCTATTAGCCTCATAAAAATAAAATCAAGCATAAGATGATCTTGTCACAAGCTTGTATATATCAGCCTATAAATGGAATAATTAAAGTTTCTGATAAGGAGCAGCTTGATTGCGAAAAATTTGTACAAAAGAACAAATAGGCCCACGTGCTATTAATGAAAAACTTGAAGAATTATCAGTTTGTGGAGATGAAAAGACAAATTACGAAAGCGAATCGTCAGACAGACTAATGATCGTCTGGTAAATGTTATGCCTGCATTGGAAATGTAAGCCATGCTGTATGATTTACTTGACATAACCTGTATAGGATTTTTTCTCCTTGCCTATTTGTCAAGAAGTTCTACTATAAATCTTAAAGTCTTCAATACGGTTGGGTACGAAGATGATTTGAAATTTTTTTTCAAAATTTCGCTGAAACGGTTTGGATTCAGGTTTTTTCCGTTGTTTGTTCAACCATCAGTTATAATTTTATTATATTTTATCCCTTTTTTTGTACAAATAATAAAATGGCATGTATGCCTAGGTGCATACATGTTAGGTACTGCTTAAAGCTAATACATATGTGTGGAGTCACATCATTGAAGAGTTCCTTCTGTACTCTTCTCTCTTCTATTTATTAGAATGCCAAGTCGCTTCGCTTAAGGAGCTGCAAATACGGCATCCAAGTAACAATGAGAAACCTCTTGAACGAGGCTACGATCGGGAATTCTCTGAGCCATTCCGTAAATTGCAGCCTGAACATATTCTCAGTTTGAAATGGACCAAATAGAAAAGTAAATACCGTTCCCTCTAACTTCTGATTCGGACAGCTCTTAACAGCTTCAACAACCAATCTCAAATCTTTCAGAAGTTCTTCGATTACTCCTGGTTGAGTGTGTAGCTTCGTGAGCATCAAATGGATACTGAAATTAGATAATGTTGTTAAGATCAAGTACGAATCTTTATGACCCTGATGGGAACTGTAAAGCTGTCAAATGCCATTCCTTCTTTGTTAACTCGCTGTGCACGAGGTTAATATCAATCAGATCACTCGTGAAACTGGCAATACAAACGTCAGATGCTCCCATGACTCTTAATCCATCAATTTGTTTGATTCTGAACAACAACAGAAAGTTTCTTGATCAAATTGAAATTAATTACCCATCACGTAATTGTCTTGTGCATCTTCTTATATCTTCTGCGTTTTTCTGATAAGTCTCTCTTCCTTGGAAGAGAAGAGCTGCCCAACACAAAGCAATGTTCAGACCAGATCTGCTTCCTTAACATTGCATACAGGTTAATCAACCAAATCTTCTACTACTGTATTACCTTCAAGGGTTGCCGAAGCGTAAATACCTCCCTGCCAGTCGGTATCACAGAAGTATTGGTTGTGCAACAAGTCTCTGTTACGGAAAAGCACAACAGAAGATCCTTTAGGAGCTAAGCCATACTGTGAACACATTATGCATAAAACTATATATCATCAATCGAAAGGCACCTTATGAGTATCAGCGGAAATAGAACTGACACCAGGAATCAAGAAATCAAACTTGGGTTTGTCCATATCATCTAAGAACGGGATGAGGAAACCTCCCAGACATGCATCAACATGCACAGGAATGTCATACTGAAATTGGAAGTTCAAGAATCGAGTTCAAGTTTACAAACAAACTCTCAATCCAAGCTTGGCAATCTCTTCAATATCGTCTACAGTTCCGAATGGGAAGTTAGGAGCAGAACCGACGAGCTAAGAATTTTGCGTTAGAAAATGTTTTGCAGGCAATAGTAATACCATGCAAGTGTTCTTATTGATAGCTGATTCCATTTTCTTCAAATCAACTTTGAATTCGGAATCCAATTGAATTTTTTTGACTTTGATTCTGAAGACTTCAGCTGCTTTAGTAAAAGCAGCATGAGCTGAGGTTGGGATAATCCTGAAAATGGTGTCGAGATCACAAAGCGTTAAGATGAGAAACAACTGTACATTTCGGGGAAAAGGATTCCTTCTTTCATAGCCTTGTTTCTGTGAGACAGACACGCTAAGAGAATGGACATTGTACCTCCAGTAGTTATCTGAAAATGAAATGAAATAAAAGAAACAAAATAGAAACGTACTGTTCCGCATGAATTAGAATCTCCGTGGAGCATGGTGCATGACATTCTTATGACTTCTGACTCCATTCTGCGTATTCCGGGATAACATTTAGGCCAAAGTGGGTTAGAATAAGCAAACTTCTTGAAAATCTGAGAAAGGCGAAATTTAAGTTGTATATTATCTTTAAAAGTACATCAAGATAGATATTAAGCTCTTCGGGGTCAGATTGGTAGCAGAACACAGCTCCAGATTGTCTTCCTCTTTTATAACAAGCTACATCTTCAAAAGAATCCAATGATTAGAAATTAAGATATATTGATACTATTTACCTTCTTTATCGCTCTTCATGTTCTCATATGAGTCGAGATATCCCATCAAGCTGTCGAATGATTCTCCTTTAGCAGGAATAGCTGTGATGTAAGCAGAGGTTGGCTGAGCTGCATTCAAATCTTCATGAATTGATTTGTAGACCATCGATTTCGTTTTCTGTACCAATTTGATTGTTTTCTAATTATATATATGAATCTTACATAAATTTCTTTGGATACATAAGGAATTTTTCGTACTAGTCTGAAGAATTTGTTAGCAAATCGACGTCTGATACCTGTAAGGGTATTGGATAAGCGTTTTCGATATAAAAAATCTCAAAATTACCAATATCATCAGAATGTAATGAATACAGTTTGAAAATATAAAATGTACTAACTACTGTACAAAGCAATAATATGAATATGTTGGCTTGTTTCAATGTATCTTCAAGCATTTCTCTGCTTTCGCGCACTAACGTGAGCATGTCCATCCTGTTGACAAAAAAATTACTATTATCTGATATGTATATTAGGAAAAGGTGAAGAAGAAGAGGGAAAAGTAGAAAAACAAAGAGAGAGAGAGAGAGAGAGAGAGAGAGAGAGAGAGAGAGAAAGAGAGAAACTTCACTTTTCGAACAATTTGAATTATTTTTTCGTAGAAGTGACTAACACTTCATATATACGACTTGATTATATACCATTAGAAAGATAAGATTTTTCTTTCTAGTTTAGTCGCTTATCAGACTAAAGACAATGGTATGCATTCCCATATATATACATATAGTTTTAGAAGAAGTTAAAAGAAAAAAAATTAAACTAGATAATGATGAAGATGATGATGACGACGATTTGATAACAGATCAGCAACATTATCAACCAAAATGATGTCATTACGGCATTCCCGTTTTTCAAATAAATTTCATATAATGATGCATTTCTCTGATTGACGTTCATGAGTTTCAAATCAAAATAATTCAAGAAAAAAAAATAAATTTTTTTCGATAAAAAGGTTTTTTTTTTGCTGTGAACACCCTCTTGCCAACGTGTTCAAGAAGATTGACAGATTTTTTGTATTCGGAAAAATAAAAAAAAAATTTTTTATCAATTGAACTCACAGCTAAAAAATGTTTTAATTTATGGCAATAAAAGAATGAATTTTTTATGATTTCGATAACGATTTTTATTACTTTTAGCACATTCTGCCCAATCTATATATCATCAAAAGAAGTATGTCAATCCAATTTCTTACTGTACTTTCAACGTTAATCTGAACTAATCTTGAAGATGAGATTCTTCAAGTCATTAACAACACCATAACCGGATACAGTTGAGCATATTCTATATCTTTATTCACAATATTCAAATTTGTTTTGTACATTAAAGTGGGCAACAATGAGCAAAAATTTCGTTTTGGATACATTTGAAGTTGTTCGGACAGAAGTTATCTGAACACTTTTTGCCAAACAGTATATTCTCATATCCATCAGTATTTGTGCTGTACGGTTTGCCAGTTGCACATCGTGGTTGATAGGCTTTGCTCATTTTTTCTTCTGATTCTTGAGGACAGCAGAATCCAAAGAAAGCCCCCATTACGCATTTATATCCTTGGGGGCAGCTATCTTCTGCTTTACCAAATCGTATAGGACCTTAGACAGAGAAATGAATAGAAATTTTGATGATATGAGAAAAAATTTTGAGTCACTTGGCAATAATTTTTTTCAACTAATCTCTTCTCAATTATAAATTGAAACTGAGCAGTCTCCACTCATCAGAAAATCATTTACATATTAATATTGAAAGATACCTCCACAGGTAATGGTTTCTTTGTTTTTTCCGATTGCTGGAGTTTTCAGAAAAGCACAAGATGAGAAATCAACTGAAAGTCGTTCGAAAAACATTATTTGGCTGAAATAAAAAGAACGAACGCATCAAACAGGAGGAGTGACATTCAGAATCGGAAACAAATCTGTTCAGATTTCCTCCACATCCATTGTACTTGAAAGCCAGACAAGTGAACGTGCTTGGATCAAAATGATACTGCGCAAGAAGATTCTCTTAAAATGCTTGCTATATTTACCATTGTTCGGGAATTCCCATCAGAACAGCTATAACCAGCATCATGTTCTAATTTGCAGAACGGTTGAGCTACTGGAAGATCTTGCTTGCCATCTTGATTATTGGAATCTCAAACAACTGTGTGAAGATTCAGCAAAGATACATTTACCTGATTCATTTTTACATGAAATGTTGTTATTTAATCCATTTTTTTGTCTTGATCCAGCGATTTCTGATCCACTCTTGGGATCCACACAATAACAAGTATCCCCCTGACATTGGAGGGCCTCATAGAATCCTAAATATCCACCTTTTTCAGGAAAACAAACAAACAAAAGAATTTGAGAGTTTAATCTGTTTACCATGCTGATTATCACATTTAGGTATATATGTAAAGTCAGGCAGTTGGTTTCCTTTAAACTTTCCGTAAATTGATATGTAGCAGTCTGGAAAAAGGTATGTCAATCCTTAAACATCACGAACTATTACTAAATTTTGAAAAATGGTGTCGATCTTGCTATTTAGAAACTTGTTATCTCTTTTATTAATTTTTTTTCTAGATTATTATAGTCTGTTCAATTCGGTCAAGCTTATCAGCATATGTATTGCGAACAAACTAGAAACAACATTCGCAAACAAACGAAGAAAGCAAAAAATTGAAAAAACTCTTCTTGTTCTTCATCAAACATCAAGAACTGTTAATAGCTTTGAAGGTCGTGAATAAGATCTGATATTATGAACCTGAGCATCTGGGTGCAACTTTGTTGCTCGTTGTTCTGCTCAACTCGGCTATTTGACCATTATGAGAATCCACACAGAAGCAGCTATTACCATCGCACTGAACCATTTCGTAAAATCCTAGAGTTCATTTTTCAAGATCTGAATGGAAGAAAAAGAATAACAACTAACCGTTATCAGTACATTTCAACTTGTTTGAATTGAATAAACAGGGGCCAGATGGTATTCTAGAAAGTATCAATTGAAACATTAGTATTAATAGATAACAGCAAGATATGAGAACAATCAGTTATCCTTACTCTATATCCTTTCCAACTCGACTAGGATTGGCTGATACTGCCAGAAAGCAGATATAATGAAGAAGAATGAGACTCTTCATCATTTCTAAAATATAAAAACGATTTAGGATTTGCTAATGATGCTGATCAAAGAGAGTGAGAGTTAAAGCAGTCAAAGACGAAATCGATTGTCAACATAAAACAAGAGTTAAAGGAAGAAGTTAAGAACGAACTAAAACCAGTTGTTCCCCTCTATAGGTAAGTTGCCTATGTCCACAAAGAACGAAAAAAAATATCTTTTTGTCGTAAAAGGGATTACTCAGTTCGGATGAAGAAAATCGGAAGTATATTCATGTTCGTTGACCTGCTTGGTGATCAGCTTCATGGCATGAAAGGAAAACGGAACATGAGGCATGAAGAAAAAAAAGTTCTCATTAGTGGCATTCACTTTTTGATCTAAAAATGCGAAAAACATGATAAAAAAAACTCGTTCGGAAAGCATATAAAAAGATTTTTCGGTCAAAATCTGAGAAGAGTTCGCAGAGTCGGAGAAGACGACAAATATATTTCAATTTGAGTATTTCTCATCGGTTAAATCAGTCCTTTTATAGTGATGGTAAACATGCCGAAAAAAATTAGGAAATTTAACGAAATTAATCCTGTAAACTAGTATGGTCGGAGTAGAGAAAGAGAGAGAGGGAAGAGAGAGAGAGGTGAGAAGATGTTGGACGTTAGTCCAATTATCGAACTATATGTTTCTTCTCGTTAAACAAATGTTTCAACGACAACTGAAGAGGAGTATTAAGTTGACGAACAAAGAATTGGTTAAGGTCAGCTTCAGATGTAAATTGTTTTTTTCTGACCACAAAAGGAAAGAAGAAAAAAAGGAAACATGCGAAGTGATTGGAGCTGAAGACGGTGTCGAGACAAAACGGACGACGACCTTGTCTTCATGTTGTAATTTCCTTTATTGACCATTATTATATGACTTATTCCATACAAAATGTCTATTTTTCCTTCCTTCTCATACATTTTGTGTTTTATTCGTTTGTTTTTATTTAATTTGAAGTTCTTATGTTTTACTTTATTCTGTTGAAGATTATCAGTTGATGATGCAAATAGCCTTTTTCAAACATTCTATATATCGTTTTCTATCTTTGTTAAACTTTGATTACGAGTTGTAAATGCAAATAATAATTTCGTTTTCTTTCCTTTTTTTACTTTAGAACATTCATTTACAAGAATAAAAAAACTTTAAAATCAAGTTCTCTTATATGAAGTTCGTTATAATTGGCAGTGGACCGACATCGTTGGGCGCTGCTTATAGATTGCATGAGCTGATATGCGAAAAAACAATACCGGCCGTCACACAAGTAGTTTTCATCTATACTTATTCATCTTAACCTAAAAAGCTCTTTTTCACACTCACTTCTGCTACTACAGGTACATATCGTTGAAAAAGAGCATGAGGCAGGAGGATTGGCACGATCAGTTACAGATGAAAATGGCTTTACTTGGGATTTAGGAGTTCATATAACAGGTACGACAATAAACAAAAACTTACCTGCTCTAACGCGACCGCTCTCTGTGAACGTGTTTTGAGGAAATGAATATGTAAAAGAGGCTGTACACATTTGGATTCAGCACGGTACACGAACAGCTCATTTCATAGCAAAACATGTTAACAGTACACATCAAGTTTATAAATCAAAACAAAATTGAAAAAAAATGTGTTTGTTATTCTCATTCATTTCCTGATTTTTTTTTCTAGGAGCATCAAAGTATGCGAAGTTTCTTCAAGTCATCAACGATAACGTACCTGAATGGAGAATGATACCCAGATGTGTTAAGTTTCGATGACAGTCCTATGAGCGATGATTAAACAAAGAGCATTTTTAGGTGTACATGGAGCATGTCATGCAAGATAATTTAAATGAAAACAATTATATTCCGTATCCTGTACAAGAATCTATTCCATACTTTCCCATCGAAGTGAAAAGCATTTGTCTGGAAGAAATACGACAATCAAAATTGGATTTTGCTGCAAATTTTGGAGAATTAACACAAAATGTTTTTGGCGAAACATTACAAAACATTTTTATTCGTCCATACAATGAGAAGGTTCTGTGGTGTTTTCAAATTCATATAACATTTTTTTAATTGTTGTAGGTTTGGACAATCCCACTGGAAGAGATGAATTGTGTTTGGGTTGAAAATCGTGTGCCGCAACCGAATGTTTCAGAAATAGAAAGACGATGTTCTTTGACATATGAACAGCTTGAAGAGGAAGAACAGCAAAAACCTCCCATTTGTTTCAAGTTTGTTATTCTTTTCTTCACACAAACTTTTTTTATTTCGATACTATCCGGCTCAATTTTATATTCTCTCAGATATCCAGCCAGAATGAAAGGAATGGGAGAGCTGTGGAAGACTGTGGCTTCGCAGCTACCCAATGATTGGCTTCTGTTCAATGCACCAGTTGAAGAAATAGATGTAACAAATAAGAAAGTTTCTCCTCCCACGCTTCTCTTTTTATTCCAAAATGCTATTTGAAGGTGAAAGCTTTTGGAGAGCATACGTTCGAATACGATTTTTTGATTTCAACAATTCCTTTAACGGAATTATGCAAATTGACTAACCTATGTCCGGATATCGAATTAAAACACTCGCAAGTCTCTATCTTTATATATTTCAATCGGTACATTTCAATTATTTGATTAAAGGTTGCTCTGGTTGGAATTGGTTTTCGAAAGCCACAACCATCATTCACGAAAAATTTGTCTTGGTTATACTTTCCTCAAAAAGACATACCTTTCTACAGGTAGTTGAACAACAAGATAATCATAATCTTCAAATGTTTGAAGATGTACTTTTATATCAAATTTCAATGACTTGATGACTCCAAACTCTGATGAATTCTGGTCGGTTATTTGCGAAGTTGGACTTCAATCACAATCGGCTGTTGATGAGAATTCGATTGTTCAATCGACAATTCAAGGTTTTAATTAGAAAAATGTCTTTTTCATCATATTCTAATCACAATACATGTGGAAGTTTGATGTCAGAAATGATAGGATTGTCTACTGTTTTAGGTTTGAAGGTGTGTGGAATAGCAGATGAAAACATGGAAATTGTGTCAAAATGGTTTTATTTATTACCATATGGTTATCCCATTCCATCATTGAATCGAGACAAGGAACTAGATAAAGCTCATAAACAATTGGAAAAACATCAAATTTATTCGAGAGGAAGGTTGCATTTGATATGTTTTCATCCTCCAAATATGTCAAACATTTTTAGATTTGGTGGATGGAAATATGAATATGCTAATCAAGATCATAGCTTTATGATCGGATATGAAGTCATTGATCGAATACTTTTTGATAAAAGTGAGCAATTACATAAATAGTTACCATATGTTCATTAGTTTATTGCAATAATTCTGAAATCTCTTCACTTGTTTTCCCTTTTGTTTCTGGTAAACAACTGAAAAATGTTCGGTCAAATGTGATGCTTACAAATATAGAATGAGCTTCTTACTTGTAGAAGTAGATTGCACTCGATGTCAACGGCACAATAAATGCCAAAAAGGCTAGCGGCCCAATCACGCTGTACAAAGGATAATATATCATCGGAGATATAAAACAACAAATATATCTGAAATATAATATCATTTCATTTTTTATCACCGTCTAGTATTAATATTGCTTAGTAATAAAACGAACTGTGCTGCTAAGCTGAATGATTGAACTTTGGCACGGGCTGCTGCCGGCGCTAGTTCAGCTCCCAAAAACCATGCTGTTGGACCGATTCCGGCACTGAATTGTAAAATTATATAGCTACATGCATCATTTACTCTATTACCTGAAGAGGAAAAGGAAAAGAATAAAAAGGATAAGAAAAGCCCAGCCAATCCATAATTTATGGGTTGTGTTAAATAAATAAACGAAGAACATCATGCATGTGTTCACACCAGCCAGCAGCAACAAGGATCCTAAGACTAAGATTCGGCGGCCAATCTACAATTATTTTTATGTTGGTTATTTGTTCCGCATTCCAAAAACAAAATACTTTTTCCACATAAAGTGTTCCTATCACAGCTCCTAGCGTTCCAGACAGAGCACTCAGGCAATTAGCTAGAGAAGCTGAAGTTTCAGTGAAACCAATAGATTGCAGGAGGAACGTTCCGAAGAAGCTCACAGCCATTATTCCACTGAATTATTTGTGTTATTGTTGATGTTTTAATGGGTTGCGATAAATGAAAAAGAAAACAAACAAACCTGAAGGAAACGACAACGTTAAGAGTTGCTGACAGAAGGAGAGCATTTCGAGTCGATCTGAAAAATCAGAGATTAATGTAAGAAGGAAGAATGAATCTCATACGCAGTTCCGATGATTCCTCTGAATGTGTCAACTTGTTGCTGATTTTTCAATTCTAATTGTATTTTTTCCAGAGAATCTTCATCATTACCAGAATATGCATGACATGCTGCTTGAGCTGCCGCAATATTTCCTGTTTTCAACAGATATACTGGGCTATCGTAAAACCAGAAAACAATTGCTGTCATGGCAATCTTAAATGAAAAAGAAACAAAAAAAGAGTAGAATAAACTGAATTAATAATATTTAAAATGTAAATAAATAATATCAAGAAACAGAATGAACTCACGAGGCACGGAATTGACTCTAGGTAGTATGGCAATGGCCATTTATCATCTGTGCCTAATGCTAACGGTATTCCCAATCCTCCAGCCATAATAAAACCAATGTTTGTAGAGAATCCCCCAATGCTTCCAATAATTCCTCGATGACATACTGAAGTTGGAAAAAAAATTAAAAGTTTTCTTTCTTATTATTTTTTTTGCTTCTAGATTTCTGTGATAATTGAGTACAACTGGTTCATGTGCGTCATTGTTTGAAAATGAAATTTCCACGTGCACGTGAGATTGTGACGCGCATACCGGGGCTTATTTCTGTCAGAAATATTCCGTGAGCAGTTGTTCCCATACCGACTCCAATTCCACAAATTAATCTTCCAATTATAAAAATTTCAGCTGATTCAAATGAATGAGCTAACCCAGACATAGGTGCACCAATGAGCAGTATCTGCATATAATTATATTATTTTGTTTATTATTGTTCTTTATCCGCCTTTTTACTAATTAAATAAAAAAAACTGAAAATAACTGACTGTAGCTGATAGCAGGAGACTTTTCTTGGGCCCATATTTTTCTACAAAAAATGACATGAAACATGCTCCAAAAGCTGCTCCGATGAAAAGACTTCCAGCAACGGCTGACCAAATTAGAGCTTGGCCCGATTCACTAAGATACATTTGATATCGACTGAAATTACGTTTTTCACATTACTCTTGACTATAAATGGAGAAAAAAATCTTTTTCTTTCTTCTTCTTTTCTTCTTCTACTTGTGTGCCATTGTGTGTATGTGTGTGAGTGAGTGAGCTGTGCGTATGTGAGTGTGAGTGTGTGTGTGCGTGACGCTTTCTTACATTTACTTCGACTTCTCTCGTTCTACCTCACATCTTATAGAGTCTTTCAGGTGACTGTTATCCTCATCGTTATTATCATAATTGAATTTATTTAATTTCTACCTGTTCATCCCCTGTTCGATTATTTGGATATAAAACAGGTCAGTTTACTATAAAACCTTCAACTTAAACTGAAAAGTTTATGAAGTTTAGTAGGAATAAGTAGTAAAACGAGGCTTACAAATGCTTGTTTGTTTGAAAGAAATAGAAAAAAAAATTTTTTTGTGTTCTTCTTCACGTCTATTTATGGCACATAGCTTCGAATTGAATATTGAAAGAGGACGAACGAACCTATTGAAATTCTTCATCAGAAACATTTGCAAGACATCTGCCATGGGATTAATAATTGAGACTTGAAAACCGAAATGAAATCCTCCAGTTAGTACAGAGATAATAGATGTGATGAGTAAACGTATTCCAGGCATCTTATTAGCAGTACGTAGCTTTCTTTCTGAATAACATTGAGTGAACTTGTAGAGAAGGCAGAGCGGAAGAGTATGAAAAGAGAAAAAAGGATTTTACCTCTTGTCGATGTTTTGAAAGTTCCTTCTTCAATTCTGTATACTTTCATGGTGACTGATGACAATTGTGTCTGAGCTTCAGAGCCTAAAGTATAAGATGTAGAAGCATGAGCTATGATTCTGTACGCTTTATTAAAAATATCAAAGAATAAGAAAAGAAGATGAAAAAAAAAAGAGAAAAACGGCAGTTATTTCCTCTCATTATCCTTTTTGAATAAAAAGACGAAGACTATCGGAAAAGAACCGGCCAAAAGAGGAACAACAAGCTTTTGTATTTTTCTCTTCAATCATCATTATCATCTATTTCTTCTTACATTTTCTGGCTTTTTCGTCTTTTTTCTACATTCTCTGCCTTTTCTAATGTGTGTTTCATCGATACGATAGCCATCTGAAGCTTATAGTTTTGGCAGGTTTTTGGTAATCAAAATTTCATTTTAAAACTACTTGATAGAATATTTTGACTGATCATCGTCGACGTTTGTATGGGAAAGAAAAGAAAGAGAGACGAATAGAGAGAGAGAAAGAGGAAAACAGAGAAAGAGAGAGAGACAGAGGATATAAAGACAAGGAGGGAGGAGAATTATATTAGCAAACTTAATATGAGAAATGCCTCGAAAAAATTTCTTTCTTCTTTTCTTTTTTTCTTACTTCAATATGTAATGAAAATGATTTGATTATGGAAGTGCCTTAAAGCAAACAAGCACATGAAGCAGATTTCTTTTTTTTTCTTTTTTTTCTTCATCTCAAAAATTTCTACAATCTTTATAAGAATAATTTTTGAAAATGGAAAAAGAATTTCTTTCAAATGACCAAATATAGAAATGAATTTCGCCCTCTCAACCCTTCGTCCAACGTCTCTCTTTGTGCGTCTCTTTCTTTTCATCTGTCTTACTCTCTGAATCTCTTTAGCTACCATGTCATTTTCATCTTCTCTCTCTCGACCTCTCACAAATCTTTTTTTTTCCTATTTTCTAGTTTTTAGCTGTCGATATCGAGTATTTTCAAGTTCTTTAATAGTCTTAATTGGATAACAAAATATATTTTTAAATTAGTCTTACATATTGTATAGCCGAACGGAGCAATAATCGTCAAAAGTTGCTTTGAAAGTCGTAGAAGCTATCTAGATGTATGTGTGTACGTGTATGTCTATGCGTATAGGTAATTAGAAGAATAAAAAGTTTATTTGGTTTTAATTGATAAAAATCAAATTTAGAATGATGTAAGTGAGATGAAGATGAAAGCAAAAAAAATTGAAAGAAAAAGAAGCAAAATCGTCGTTACAAGAACGAAAGTTTGAATACATCATCTCGCCTGTTTGTATTTCAAAAAAAAAACATTTTTTGTCATTTAAGTACAAAAAAAATAGTTTTTTATCGCATTTTGTAGTTAAAAAGTAAAAAAAACTTGTTTAACTTTCTTCAAACTTTCAGATTTATAACTGATGTTATTAACCAAAAGAGAGTTCTGGCTCTCTCTCTTTCTCTGTCTCACTCTCTCTCTCTCTCTCTCTCTCTCAATCTATGTTCTACAACATAACATATTTTCTTTTGTTAAACTTATTTTTGAAAAAGAACTTGAAAAGCGTATTCAAACTTCTCTCACCTGTGTTCTTCAAGTGAATGTTAATGGTTTAGATGGAAACATCAAAGTCTGGAAGGACGAGGCCAAAACATTTTTTATTTTCTCGATTTCGATTTTGATGAGAAAAGTAATATGAGAAGAAGCATATAAGAAGATGATGATGATGATGATGATGTTAAACGAAAACAGTAAAAAACAGAACTACAAAACGGAATATATCTAATCTCTTTCTCTCCTTTCTTCATCTTTTTTCCTTTTTTCCTATCCTTTTTCTCTCTTTATATCTCTCACTTTCTCTTTCAATCTCTTTTTCTTCTTCTTTTTTCCCTTATTATCGTCACCCTCCTTATGTACATCCGAAAGCTCATTCATTCTAACTAGATTCTTATGAAACAAATCAATTATCTTCGACGAATGTTCATCTTCATTTTTTCTTTCATATAAAACAAATATTATTATTATTATTATCTAATTCTTCATCTACCTCTTTTACCTACACACGCATAACGGGAAGCAATAAAACTCCGCCGACATAATATTGTTTCAATCGGCGATTGAATAACTAGCTAGAAGACAATGGTGAAAACCTTAGAAGACATATTGGAATGGCAATGGCACTGCTTGATCTCACATGTTACAAAGACAAACTTCACTTACAAAAAAAAAGAGAAATAAATGGAATTATGAGAAAGCAGGCATCTTTTGGACAGATGATGCCTCTAAAGCTTTCCATATACAACCGATTCACATGCGATGCAATCGAGAAATGGAATGTACACGTCAATCTGTTTCACATCATCGCATCTTCAAAACTTCTTTTCATCAACGAAAGTATAATCTATGCTAAAGTTACTACTTTTTCCTTTTATGAACTGGTCTGGCCAAGCTGAGAGTTTTCGATTATAATGCAGAATCGTTGTCGGAAGAAAAAGCAAATGATCGCTGCTAAGGCAGAGAACGAAAAAACACGCGATGCACTCGCATATCTGATATCATTGCATAAATCAAAGTTTATGAAGCTAGGAAGAGTACAGGGGCTCTCCTTTTTCGTCTAGGGCGACCACCTGTTTTTGAATTTCATTACTTCTTTCTGTTTTCTCCGTGGTTTCCTCTTTTCTATCACTGTTTGCTTGTCATTCTCTACTTCTCTCATTTTCAATCTGTACATATATCGTTTTCTCTTATCTCTTACCTTTTTAGTTTCAATTTCCGTTTCTTTCTCTCCTCCCCCACATTTGGCTGTGAGAAATAACCAAGCTTCAACTCAAATCACTTAGCAGCCAAGGCAATTCGTTATTTTCGGTTTGCATTTCTCATTCAAATCATATCTTTTTCTCAGATTGGGAAAATTTACTTTTTAATTCTAAAAGCAAATTGTGCACATTCATAATTATTAAAGACATTTATTATATTTTGCCTCATGAGGCTGCTCTACCCATTATGCAAGGTCCACCGAACGGCTCTAGTCCTTCAAAGGCTTCGCACTCTTTCGCTTGTGACATGTGTCGCTCCATCCAAACTTTCTCTCATACTTTTTTTCAAAAAATAGACAACTTTAATTAGTTGAAGTGAATGCTTCGAACACAGTTATAGTTGTCCTTCTTTGCAAATCTCCAAAGAATTTCAATTTTCTTCTCAAATTCTGTTTTCATTTCATAAAATAGTTGATTATGCGTGTTTCAGAGATATTTGAGGGTAAATGGAGAAGCAAAAAATGGATTTGTTCGAAGGAGACCTAGATGAAGAAATAGATGTCGTAAATTTCATAAAAACTCTCAAAAAGGTAATTTTACATAACACAACACTATCTTATTCATGTGTTCAGGTTGATTCTGTTCAGAACTCAACAATCGATTTGAAATCTATCCGAGATAATAGCGGAAGTAGTTCCTCGTAAGTTTCCAAGCATACTAAGCCATAAATGAAAGTCAACATAAAGTACTTGATATGAATTAACTATTCCCGAATCATAATCAGCCTTCGAAAGACATTTTTTTTGAGTCTCTCAATGAAAACAGCTGATGAGAGTTGGCACAAGAAGTCTTTCGAGGAAATCTTTTTTTTTTCTTCTCAATCCATGCTATAAATGGCATTCATTGAACATTCTCATTCTATGAATTCGCAAAAATAACAAGTTTATAACCATTATTTTTTTTTATTTTTCCTGTATGAAATTCACTGTTAAATGTGTAATTCACACATTTCACATGTTCTCTCTTTTTGTTTTTTGACTTGAATTGAAAAAAAAATTGAATTTCTTTTCCAGATCTTCAACAGAAAAAGTAAACACCTGTATAAGCGATGAAAAACATAAAAAATTAGCAGATAAAAGGTTTGTTTCATATGAAATTCTCATGAACATTGACTTGCTTGAAGATCGAACACAACGGAACTTCTGGCATCCATGCGTCGCAGGTTTCAACATCGAGCTACAGAACCAATTTTTCATAATATTGACACTTTAAATGAGGTATTTTCTGAAATAAAAGATGTTTAACCGGATGAGCATAATATGTACATATGAATTCAGAAAGGGATTTCGTGTTGTAATACAGCTGGAGGATCAGATAATGCCTTAAAGATGCCCCAGGTACAAACGGAAGATCCCGCTGATCATCCAAGCAGTCGGGTTGCTTCGGCCAAAAAATACATGTCAAAAGATTAAACGTTTATTTCAAACACTCATCATAACTATAAGTAAGAAAAAATCATTGAATATTATGCAAATTAATTTATTGTAAATTAAACTTTGGATTGATCATAACAATTGTATCTAGCATAGTTGGAAGCATATTAGGAGGCAGTTTTTTTCTCTTAAATCAATTTGACATTATTAAAATAATTCGGGAAATGAATGTTGCTGTTGGTGGTGTGGATATTCTCCCAGCTGATATCCATCTATTACCATATTGGGTATTGGCATGACAGGAGGTTGTCCGAAAAATCCTTGACATGCTGGGTTTTCTGGCATATTTGGAATGGAGTCCATCCAGTTGGTGGAAGGTGTTGATGAGGATGATGTCGAGAATGTTGTGTTTCCCAATGAAGCTAATGATCCTATGCTAACAGGAGAAGTACTGTAAATACCGTAATTAAGACAGTCTTTATTCTATAGCATACCTTTCATTGTGAACATCTTCTTCTGAAAATGTTTCAGAGCTATTTAATGTTGGCTCATTCTCGGTTGAATCCTCCATTGTATCATCCTCAACTAATTTTCCTTGTTTTCTCAAATTGTATCGGCGGTTTTGGAACCAGATTTTGACCTGCAAAGCAATGCTCAACACCGGAATCTTGAAAGAATAGCTGTACCTGATCACTTGTTAATCCAATGGCTTCTGCGAAAATTTTACGTTCAGGCAATCGAATACTATTTTTCTGAGAAAATCTATAACATGCAATGTTTGAAAGCTATTATAGAAGCTATGCTCACCTCTCTTTAAGTTTTGTGATTTGAAAGTTAGTGAATTTCGTTTTCTTCTTTCCCATATCGCTCTTGGTAGAAGCTGAAACAAAAACTCTTCAAATCATTGTTAAAGGTGATTTCTTACAATCTCTTATCATCATGGAAGGAGGGCATGCGAAGAATGCTGGTGCAGGCCAATTATACGGAGGCATATAATTAACATAACTAAACGATAAAGATTTTTTTATTAAATGCAAAAATAAAACTTACTTGGAAGGATTTGATGATTGTTGATATTGACTATACATATAGAAATGAGATGGAGCTGCTACGGAAGAGTTGATAGATGGATCGTAATATCCAGAAGGGATAGACTTTTCCTTCAAATGTTCCATGATTCTCTAAAATAACTGACTTTATTAAGAATAAAATAAGAGAAGAAGGTATCACGAAAGAATCTTAAATGATTTCGTTATGATGGGATGAGCTTAATGTAATGCATGGGCGGGGCTTATGACCGATGTACTGTATGGATGAGTGGTGGTCAACGGCAAAATTAAGAATGCTACAGGCACATAACGGAAACTTCAGATAGAACGAATTGAGGAAGATTGTAAGAGCACTTATGTGTTAAGTACTCTTCTATTAGGGAAAATCTGATTTATACCCAAGTTATGATAAAACTGGAAGGATAAAGACAGACAAGAGACAGCTTTCTAATCTTCTAGAGAACATAAAATGATATTTAAACCCCCACGAGTGTATTACTGGAAAGGTTTATACGAAATGCATTGGTGACGTAACGATTCATTGGGCTTATATACGCCAGCAATGACCTGAAATGATAAGAATATCAACACGTTGTCAAATTTGTCATTAAGGTGGCAGAGCAAGTGTTGACAAAGTGTTAACTGGCCTATGGCAGGATAATCACCTAATCTCTAACTGATGCTAGCTTAGGCTACTCATTTCTAGAGTGTTAGTGATAAAGCAAGTCAGTGGTTTGTTAGACCTGAACAGAAACTGTTAAAGATTAACAGTTTTTTGAACTTTCATCTGTTCACAAACTAACGACTCAACAATGATTTTTAATTTAATTTTGAAATTCAATTCACAATGGAAGAAACTTCTTCTTTGCATGTTTGATCTCCGTTTTCACATGAGCAGAAACGCAATTCTACTAAAGATCATTATAAATACCAACTATGAGAAATTTCAATTCAAAACAATCTTCCTCGACTCTTCTGTTCATATATTCGTATAATTATAGATGGAAACACAATGAGGGAGACAATGCACGGAACCACATGATTTTCACGTGAAGCGCTTTCACGCTTTTTTCATTTTTCCTCATACAACCTTTCATCCGGTTGGTCATCGCGTTGAATTGTAACGTTTTACGATGGCTTCATTGCCTTGCATCACTCAAATAGCAACAATCAAACTGCCTTCAATCTCTATTTTACTTTTAATTGTCTCTGCTATTAGTTGATATGCAAACCCTTTTCAATATCATGTGGAAGTATTGAAAGTCTCAACGAATGCCTCCTATTCCAGACGCTCAGAAACGGTTGTTCATCCCTACATGTAAGTTCTTTTATAAGTTTCCTCTGTTCCAAGATTGTTTTTTCACGTTGTCTTATCACTAACTTCTATTGTAGTGATATCTATTCAATACTGAAACATATGCATGTCGGCCACACAAATCCTATGAGGTGTTCTGTCAATGACAATATGTTTCCCTTTCATGAATTGCACCAGAGCTTGGGTTTCAATTGATTTCCCATTATTACACTGCCAACAAACAGTTTCAATATGAACATATTCTTCTTTCTGAATTCAAAAAAGGATGGTCTGTAACGAGAACCGCGCTTATGTTGCAGTTTAAGCCACGCCCCTTTTTCGAATTCGTTCTTGAAAAAGCGTTTCCAAAACTCTTTTATGCATGCAAATGGTGTATATTAACAAACCTTAATTCAATTTTTTAGAGAATGGTTGCTCAATCAGATCGTAAACCAAATGCAACCCATGTTTCAATCGATGACTTTGAAAATGACACAATTACGGAGGTATAGTCTTATGCAATCGTTCCTATTAACTCATCCTCGAAACAGGTTGCTGCAAAATTCTGGGCTCCATTCACTCAGAATCATGCTCCTTACGATCCTAAGTTGATTGAAACTATTTATAAGAATGAAATGGTCAACACTCGTTACAGTCCTAAAAGAACTGTGATGCTGGAGTTCAGGTATCCGCATAATGGTTTTTTGGATATTTATTAGTTTCTCAGTCATTTCCTTGAATGTTTCCTGTGGCCTAATTACTCTGAGTCTTCAACACCTGCACATATTCTTTGCATCGCTATAATGGTGAATGAGAAGTTCAGAGAGAGGGTTCCCGCTTGGCAGGTAAACTTATTACCGAAAAGCTTCTCCAAATTCTTGTAACAGTGTTTCATTGATGCACCAGAAAAATTCCCGGATCTCATTCATAAAATCTTGAATATGGCACTTCAAACTGACGGTCTCACTAGTGCGGAACACTGCGCTATCTTCACTTTCCTTGTAAATTGTTTCAACTCCGTGGTATTCTCAACAATACATGTTTGCTCTGAAGTACTTTTTTTTAGGAGATCGATATTGTTCGCGAACAAATGAGAAAACTCACAAGCATGTCTATATGGGTCAACTTACTTCCATCTCAGAGAGAAGAGCTTTTTTTATCAAACCGAGTAAGCGGCGTTGTAATCTTAGGCTTAACAATTTTTCTTACTAGAAACTACGCAAATGCTGGGTGGCACTGGAGAAAAAGTTCGGCACGGAAGAAGATCCCAAGCGTGCCGAATTTGAGCGGACATTTTTGTTCAATTTGATACAACGTTTCAAAAAAATCCTTGACAAACTGGATGACGATACAGCTGGTATATTTAAAAGTTTTTCTCTGTAATTTGCTTTATTGTAGACATTGATATCGATGATATTCGGTATTGCGAACGGTTCATCGAGCTTATGATTGATCTCGAATCACTTCTTCAAACCCGGTATGCTTTATATTAAAAACTTTTTTTTTATATCTTTTTTTTTAAAGTCGATTCTTCAATGCCATTTTACATTCATCTCACTTATTAACTCATTGTTTGTTATCTAAATTAATCACATCGGAAGCAGGAACTTTGTTCTGTCAGCTTGTAACTATGCTCAAGTTCTATGCCAGGTTTGAAATAGACGACCTCAGTGGTCAGCAACTATCTCACAAAGAGGTAAAACTCAATTGTTTGCCTTAGAGATGAAACTCTGTTTAAGGTAGCCGAAAAACATTATGAACATGTTATTCAACTTCAGAAAGCTGCTTTCAAATATTTCAAGTAAGTCTCGCAATTTAAACTGTTAGCTATGTTGTTGTTCAGAGAGAGCATGCCGGATTTCTACTTGTTGAATGTTAGTGGAGTTGATTCCCGAAAAGCCCTCCTACATCAGCTGAAATATATGAAGTGAGTTTAGGCTGAAGGTTTCATTCGGAGGTGTTCTTTTCTAGGAAAGAGGAGATTTATCGATTTGCTGAGTATCTTCACTTAGTCCCTCCCGCTTCACCTGCTGCTCTTGAAGAATATACGAAGGAATTCCTTTCAGAAACCATTGTAAGAAGCATTTATGAATTTTTCACTGTTGTTGTATTTTAGGTTCTTCAATGTGAGAGAAGGGTAAATCAACTCCAACAGCTGAACGAGCAACCTCTATACCCAACAGAGAAGGTCATTTGGGATGAGAACGTTGTACCATACGAGCATTACTCTGGAGAAGGTTTCTTTCTTTTCCGTATCAAGTTTAAAATATATTTTCAGGCGTTTTGGCACTCTCGAAGTTGAATCTTCAATTTTTGACTTTACACGATTATCTTTTGAGAAACTTCTCCCTGTTCCAGTTAGAATCAACTTGTGAGTTAGCTGAGTTTACAAATATTGAGTTGACGAGTCCTTTAGATGAGATTAGACAAGATCTAGAAGACGTTCTGTTTCGTTTAAAGCCTTGGAAACATGAGACAAAAGATGAGACTGTTTGGGGAGGCTGGGCCCGCATGGCACTTCCTTTAGAACATTTGCAGATTGTTGAGGTATAGCATGTGAAGATATGCCGGATTCATGTGTTTTGTTTTCAGGTGGCTAAACCATTAGTTGGAGAGAAGAGTCCTGCTTCTGTAAAAGCTGATTTTTCTGTGAACGTTGGTAAGAGAATGGATATCAGGCATGAATGGGAATGTAGGTTTTAATAAGAAATTATATTTTAACATTGCTAATTTCAGCATTAAGAAAGCATGATGTCTGCTTTTTGGTGACGTGTCGTGCAGAAGCACCAGTAGGAACCAAATATAACACAAGAGCTCCATTCAAAGATCAAATCCAAGTATGTTAAAAATTTGAGGGTAAATACCATACATTGCATCAGATTACGTATGTGCGCGGTTGTGAAATTGAAGGAATGCTCGATCAAAATGGACAAGTCATTGAAGAATACGGTTTTTATCTCGGCTAGTTTTTTTTATGATATTTGCATTCAGCCTCATATGAAAAAAAAATATCTGTACCTGGCGAAATCAGGAAATTCCGTGTTTCTCTGGATCCAAACCAGTACAGAATTGACATGGAAGAAAGAGCGGAAAAGAACACAGAGGATGTTTACTACACGTTCAATTTGGTTGTTAGAAGGGATCCTAAAACAAATAACTTCAAGGTACATAGTGGTAACAGTTTCCTTATCAATCCCGCATTAAAGGCGGTTCTTTCTACTATTCGGCAACTTCTCAATACTGACTGTGTTGTTCCTGACTGGCTTACTGATGTAGTACTTGGATATGGTGAGCCTGATTCCGCTCATTATACAAAGTTAGTATAATAGCAAAATGTTATCTTAAGTGGGTATTTTATAGGATGAACAATGTTGTTCCAAGTTTGGATTTCAATGATACCTTTTTATCATATGATCATGTCAAGACTTCATTCCCGGGATACGAGATCGTCCCTAAAACTGAGAATCCTCTTCCTCCCTATAGGTTAGCGTCCCTCATTTTCCCTTAATAGTATTTCATCTAGATTGACTTTCAAAGATTTGGAGAGACGTCCTGATGTTGAAGCTAGTAAAGTCATAGAAGTAGAACATATTGAACGATTGAAAAAGACTCCTTATGATGTCAAGTTGAAAAAAAATCAAGTTCAATTCACACCAGCTCAAGTAGAAGCTATTAAGGTTTGACTCAATTCGGATGATTATTTATTACTTCAAATAATCTCTAGGCTGGTATGCAACCAGGTTTAACTATGGTTGTTGGACCTCCCGGAACCGGTAAAACCGATGTTGCTGTTCAAATAATCTCGAACATTTACCACAATTGGCCAAATCAGAGAACTCTTGTAGTTACTCATTCTAATCAAGCTTTAAACCAACTGTTCGAAAAAGTCATTGCGTTGGATGTAGATGAACGACATTTACTTCGAATGGGTTTGTGGCTTTGAAATCACTTCTAACTAGTGATAATGACGTTAAGGTCATGGCGAAGAATCTCTGGAAACCGCAAAGGATTTCTCGCGTTACGGACGTGTTAATCATGTTCTTAAGGAAAGAATCCAACTTCTCGCAGAGGTAAATCAAGGATATGAGTATGATAGGTCATTTGTGACTTTTATTCAGATAGGAAGACTCTCTGAATCAATGGGCGTTCCTGGAGATGTGTCTTATTCTTGTGAGAATGCTGGACATTTCTTCCGATTCACGGTATCATGGTTATCTATAGCAGTACATAAATGTTGAATATTTTAAGGTTCATCGCGCTTGGGACGATTTCCTCGATAAGCTCTCATCTCAAAATGCTACTGTAGCTTCCATTTTCCCATTTGCCGCATACTTCGCTGGTTTGCCAGAAATGTTCACGGTAACTGCGTATTCATTTACTTGAATCATAGTTTTTGCAGGGTAATAACGATCAAGATTTGGATACTGCGAAAACATGCTGGCGTCATATTTGTCACATTTTCGAGCAGTTAGAAGAGTTCAGAGCTTTTGAACTTTTGCGCAATGGCCGTGACAGAACAGAATACTTATTGGTAGCATTGTTACTGTTTTGTTTTATCATAGTGTTCCTTAAGGTGAAAGAAGCTAAAATTATTGCCATGACATGTACGCACGCAGCTTTGAGACGTAACGAGTTGGTGAAGTTGGGATTCAGATATGATAATATCATAATGGAAGAAGCCGCCCAGATTCTGGAAGTAGAAACCTTCATACCGTTGCTGCTACAGGTTATTTTGATACTTCTCCGATTCTTACCTGATTGGTTAGGATCCCAAAGATGGAAGAAGTAGACTGAAGAGATGGATAATGATTGGAGATCATCATCAATTGCCTCCAGTTGTCCAAAATCAGGCTTTCCAAAAGTATTCTAACATGGAACAATCATTGTTTGCTCGATTCATTCGCCTCGGAGTTCCTCATGTACAACTTGATTGCCAAGGTCGTGCTCGATCAGAGTAAGTATATAACTTTTGCTCGTTTGTTACCAGTCGTTTCAGTATTGCTATGCTGTATAGTTGGAGATATAAAAATCTCGGTAATTTACCGCATGTTGAGAAAATGCCGTTCTTCCAGGTTTTAGTGCTGTGTTTTTTCTTACTCAACCAATGATTCTTTCCAGAAAGCCAATCCGGGATTCGGATTCTCTTTCCAATTGATCAACGTTCCAGATTTCAATGGCGTTGGTGAATCTCAGCCCAGTCCTTTCTTCTACCAGGTAACGCTCTGTAATAGTTCGTTTCTGAAATCCAATTTTCATAGAATCTTGGAGAAGCCGAATATGCTGTAGCTCTGTTCATGTACATGAGAATATTGGGCTATCCAGCGGAAAAAATTTCGATCATCACCACCTATAATGGACAGGTTTGTGTTTAATAGCTTATTATGTTATCATTTCTCTTCAGGCTCAACTGATCAGAGACGTAGTACAGGGTAGATGCGCCCAAAATCCGTTGATTGGAGTTCCTCATAAAGTATGGCAGCAAAACTTAATAGATTCATTCATTTTATTCTAGATTTCCACCGTGGATAAGTACCAAGGTCAACAGAACGATTACATTATTTTGTCGTTAGTGCGGACGAGAAATGTTGGTCACTTACGGTTCGATTGTGGCTACGAATAGTATTTCGTCATTTCTTAATTTCAGTGATGTTCGTCGTTTGGTCGTCGCACTTTCTCGTGCCCGTTTAGGTCTCTACGTCTTGGCTAGAGCTGAACTATTCCGTAAATGTTTCGAACTCGCTCCAGCTTTCGATGTGGTTTGTTTCTAATTCTAATGCACGAATGGTTGTTAATATCGTTTTAGCTCTGTTCTCGGCCACCTCGATTGGCACTCATTCCTAATGAACCATACCCAACTTCCAGAAAAATTCATGAGAAGGCTAAGGCTGAAGTATTGATGATTGAGGACACTGTTCACATTTCTCATTTCGTTCACAATTTCTATTTGAGCAATATGGAAGCAATGAAATCTCGCTTCGATGATGCTAGAAAAGCTTACGAACAAGAATTAAAGGTTATTTGTGATCCGGTTCTTTGTAATTCTATTGTTTTCAGAGTTTCGTACCAGAAGTAGAACCCATGGACGCTCAAGAGGCAGAGTTAAGAGCTGCCGAAATTAGAAGAGCTAAGCAAGAAGAAGCAGATGGCGAGCAGCAGGATATCGTTTTTGAAGAAATGGATTTCCAGCAACTGGAGGAAGTTCCCAAATATTAACCTTTAACTTTATTGTTGGTAATTTAATATTTATCTCATTTATCTAACCATCCCTGGATGATACAATGATCTTAAAGCTTGAACTCTTCGCGTTCCAAGCACAAAGTTGTCTGTTATGTTGTTTTATGTGTATAAACAAAATTAAAACCTATCTTTTTTTGTTGTGCAAGGGTTATGAACCAACAACATATTTGATTTTTTGTAAATTGATTTGAATCTTACGTTTTATTTGTAGAATGTCGTCTGAGGCTGTAGACACCAAGCTAGAAAATATGTCCGTCGAAAACGTGAGTTTTCATATGGCCTTCAAATCATCCGTTACATGTTGCAGGTTGAAGACATCGTCACTCCTTGGACTGTAGAATCTAGTTCCGCTAAAGGAATCGATTATGATAAGTTAATCGGTATGTTCCACCCAGCTTTCCCATTGATAACTTTTATCGTATAGCCAGGTTTGGTTGTCGTAAAATTGACAATGAGCTTATTGAACGATTTGAGAGGATCACGGGACATAAAGCTCATCCTATGCTCCGACGAGGATTGTTTTTCGCGCATAGGTAAAAGAAATGCTTGAATGTATAATGTATTATATGATCAATATAGAGAGTTAAACGAAATATTGAATAGAAAAGAGCAGGGTAAACCTTTCTTCCTCTATACAGGACGAGGAGCATCCGCAGGAAGCTTGCACATGGGACATCTTGTTCCATTTATTTTCACGAAATATCTTCAAGAGGTTTTCGATGTTCCCCTCATCATCCAGGTATTACTGGCTCTTCCATAGAGTTATATACAATGTTCTCTCAGCTTACTGATGACGAGAAATTCTTGTGGAAGAATTTAAAGATAGACGAATGCAAGAAAATGGCTATTGAAAATATCAAGGATATTATTGCTGTTGGATTTGATCTCGATAAAACATTCGTCTTTACGAACTTAACTTATATGTGGTACGTTTTTTGAATACTTGAAAACCAGAAAGGAATTGTTTCTTTGTTTTCAGCCCCCCTTTCTATGAGAATGTTTGTAAAATCTGGAAGCTTGTTAATTATAATCAAGCTCAAAACATTTTCGGATTCTCTTCTGAAGATCCAATCGGAAAAGTGTGTTGTTCCTTCAATTTTTGTATAACAGTCTTTATCTCAGAGTGCGTTCCCAGCCATTGAAGCTGCACCATGCTTTGCTTCTTCTTTCCCTCATATATTCGGAACCAAAATAGATATTCCTTGTTTGATTCCATGCGCCATAGATCAGGTTCAATTCTCAGAAGTTCGAGTTTTGTTAATGAAAGATTCAGGATCCTTATTTCCGTATGTGCCGTGATGTAGCACCTAGATTGAAATATTGCAAACCTACTCTTATACTCTCGACCTTCTTACCAGCCTTACAAGGCTCTCAGACAAAAATGTCTTCTAGTGATCCGAACTCTGTTCTTTCTTTATCAGATACTCCTAAACAGATTAAAAGCAAGGTGTGCTTATCAAGTTGCAAAAAAGGCTTATTTGGTTTTTTTTAGATCAATAAGTATGCTTTCTCCGGTGGACAAACTACCATTGAAGAGCACCGATTGAAAGGCGGTGATTGTGATATTGATGTCAGCTATCAGTTCTTGAAGTATTTCATGGAGTCGGACGAGGAGTTACAAAACATTCGCGAAAAGTACACCAAGGGAGAACTTTTGAGTGGCGAAATGAAAGCCCTCGCGGTCGAACAGGCACGCTTTTGAAAAAGTTGAGGAAGAGTTTAATATTTTTTTAGGTAACCCAAGTTATCGTTCCTATCCAAGAACGCCGGAAGAAGATCACAGACGAGTTGGTAGCGGAATACATGAAAGTTCGACCACTCAAATACACCTTTTAACCGTTGTTGGAGGTTGGGGATATAGATTCAAATCTTTGTTGTTTTCGTTAATCAGAGCTTGTTTTCATGGTTCATTTTTATCCGAATCGTGATATAGTTTTGAGTTGTTATTTAATTGAACTAGTGCTTGTTCCAAATTTTTGGCTAATTTTCGTATTTCTTTTTAACAGTGCTGATAAGCGTAATAAGATTGTTTTTCAATGCTAGAGAAAGCAAATTTTTGATATAAATTTTTTTATGGGCTATAGCTGACAAGGTTTGATACTGTCGTTCCTAATTCTAAGAATAGGCAAGATTCATTTCCTAGATCTCCGGCAGGGGCAGATTCCAAAAATACATGAAGCCTTCCTGTAATTCTGGAAGAAGCGACTGCGATCTTTAAGGATGAGGAACGGTATGTAGTCGAATGAGATTGTGAAAAAAACCAAAAAAACACATGAGCGGTATTAGCAAATGGAAATTCCTTATACACAGACAGAGGTGTACCTAATCAGAGCAATCACGGAGACAGAAGTACTCAGGTCATTTGGAAACATAGCTCATCGAAAGTTATATGATAAAAATTGAACTTCTTCAAATGTGATAAAACAGATTGAAAAAAAATTCACTCCATTCCAGATATTATCGGAGTGAAGGCAACTGTTCATGAAGAGTTTAATAATTTTTTCCATAAAACAATTTATGGTTCCTATCTAAGAACACCGGAAAAACGTCACAGACGACATTTTACCAAAACACATGAGAGTCGGCCTAATCAAATGCACCTATTAACTGTTGGAGGTGAAGGATATAAATTCCAATCTTTGTTGTTTTCATGAATCGATGCTTGTTTTCATTGTCTTTCTATTGCTAGAGAACGCAAATTTTCGTTATGAAATTTTTATGGGCTATAGTTGACAATGTTTGATACTTTCGTTTCAAGGATTGACGAGAATCAGTCACAAATAGTACAGACGCAGTCTCCGGTAACGCAAGTAGCGATCTTGCAGTTCTGAAAAAGGAAATTTTCATAAATTATCGAAATGAAAGGTGATATTAGATCATCTAAGCGTGAAACTTACTCTGCAAGTGACTGACTTGCAAATGCTGTCTCCAAAGTAGCAGGAGAAGTCAGCGCTAACCATAGCAATCAGAACCAAAAGGAGGCAAAGGTAAAGGAAGTAGTTGCTCATTCTGAAACATGTTGCTTATTAAAAGTTTCATGAAAATAACTGAAGATCTTCAAATGTAGAGCAAAATAAATAATATAATTCATTTCAGATGTATCGAGAGTGAGGGCATCTGCCGAATGAAACTGATTTAAGAGATCTTTGAGTTTTGTGTCAGAAGCAGTTGGTGTAGCATATGTCTACGTCTCCTGAATACGAGATGTAAAGTGAAAGATGCAAATAATTGAAAACCAGAGTCAAACTTTGATTGATTGTCCAAACTATGGAACTTGGGACATACACAATGAAGAGCTAATCGGAAATTAGATTTAGGTGTAAAATCGAATGCTCTGACATTGAGCGTATCTACTGAAACACAGATATAAATTTTTTAATCTTTATCATAAAACATGAAAATAACTTCGAAGTAATAAAAGTTTCACAAAAGGGCGTTACATAATGCTATCAACAGTTTATTATTTTTTGAATAACTATTCAAGTATGCTACCATAATCTTTGTCTAAACTTATTATGGATCATGATCGAAGACGTCCATATCCAGATGCAGAATTATCACTTTCATCAACAGAACCAGGTATGATGTTACTGGCACTGAATTCGTCTTCAGGTACTTCTGTTTCAGTAGATGGGACCAGAGTTGAAGGATTATCATCGGAGAATGGGAACTTTCCACCAAATACATTTGGCATTGTCGGCTTAACAATTATTGGTCTTATGGGAGTAACAATTTTAACTGTTGGAGGAGTGATTGGAGCAACAATCCTAACAGTAGGAGGAGTGATTGGCCGTACGATAGTGAAAGTGATTCCCATTCTGGTGGTTGCTTCCTTATACGTCGTGGTTCTCGTAGTACGTGGAGTTGTTGTTCTAGTTGTACGTGGAGTCGTTGTTCTAGTTGTACGGGGTGTCGTTGTTCTAGTTGTACGGGGTGTCGTTGTTCTCGTAGTACGAGGTGTAGTTGTTCTTGTGGTGCGCGGTGTGGTGGTTCTTGTAGTGCGTGGTGTGGTTGTTCTAGTAGTGCGTGGTGTGGTTGTTCTGGTTGTGCGCGGGGTTGTTACTGTGGTATAACGTAACGTAGTACTACGAGTGGTTCGTGGTGTAGTCGTACGGGTAGTACGTGGAGTAGTTGTGCGAGTTGTACGCGCCGTGGTGGTTCTAGTGGTGCGAGGGGTAGTAGTGCCAGTGGTCATAGATGAAGTAGTTCTGGTGGTACGTGGTGTGGTTGTCCTTCTTGTTGTAGTAGTAGGGCATTGATTTCTTGGCACGCACATATTTCTGACAGTGTTTCTAAGGAAGTTAACTTTGCACACACATCCTCTGACGCAGCCATCTCGACATATAGTTTCCCCATCACAAGTTTTTTCGCATGGCATGCAATCAGAAAACTCTTCGTTCGCCGGGCATTCTGGACATGTTTTGTTTTCAGAAAAATTTCCAAAGATGGACTTACGGATTGGAGGTGATGTTGGCGGAGTTATAGGACATAGCGTGACAGGAATACATTTGCCGAAATTATTACGTAAGAACCCTGGTAGGCACTGACAAACATTCAGAATACATTGTCGGGTACAGATCTGTTAAGAAAAATGATCTCGTTTAAAATTTGATAGCTTGGTATGATACCGGATTAGGATTGTTACACGAAGGTTCACACGCAGAGCCGCATGTCTTCAATTCCTCTCCATTCGCGAAATCACAAACTTAACATTATGAATGAACAGCTCTTGAAATGAAAACATACTTATGGCTGGCGGGAATACTGGAGGAAGTGTAGGACGAACAGTAGGGAACGGAGGAACTGTCGGAAACACTGTTGGGAAAGGTGGTAAAGTTGGAAATACGGTTGGGAATGGGGGCAGAGTAGGGAACACGGTTGGGAACGGCGGCATTGTTGGTCTAACTGTTGGGAACGGCGGCATTGTGGGTCTAACTGTTGGTAATGTTGGAAACGTTGGTTTCACTGTTGGTCTGGTATTTGGGCAAGATGAAGGCAATACACAGGATCCTTTTGCATTTCTCACTGACCCCGGACGGCATTGGCACACATTGATTATGCATTGATCCGTGCAAAACTCCTGAACATAACATAATTTTCAGTTCAGCAAAAGGAAATATTACAGGAATAGGTTCATCACAAGTCGGCTCGCAAGCAGTACCACATTCCAGGAAAACTTCGTTGTATTTGCAAACTTGAAGAATTCGTTGGATTTAAACATTACAGACTGTAAAAATTAACCTGGAGGTGGATCAGTTGGCGGATTGGTTGGTGGATATGTGGGTCTTGTAGGTCTTGTAGGTCTGGTAGGTTTAGTAGGGGGCGTTGGTGTGGGACACTGTCCTCTGGGTATACATACACCGTTGGGACCTCTTACGTAACCTGTGGGACACTGACATGCATTGATCACACATACAGCAACACATATCTGATTATATTATAGACAGATATGTGAATACAGTTAACTGACCGGTGAGGGGTTTTCACAAGTTGGCTCACAACGAGTGCCACATTCCACAAGAACTTCATTGAGTTTGGGATCGCAAACTAACAGAAGATATAAAAATTTTGGGAATATATCTACTTCTTACCTGGCGGTGGATCAGTTGGAGGATTGGTTGGTGGATATGTGGGTCTTGTGGGTCTTGTAGGTCTTGTAGGTCTGGTAGGTCTAGTAGGAGGCGTTGGTGTGGGACACTGTCCTCTAGGTATACATACACCGTTAGGACCTCTTACATAACCTGTGGGACACTGACATGCATTGATCACACATACAGCAACACATATCTGATTAAATTATAAATATATACATATAGTTAACTCACCGGTGAGGGGTTTTCACAAGTTGGTTCACAACGAGTGCCACATGCCACGAGAACTTCATTACGATCGGGGTCGCAAACTAACAAAACATATATAAGTTCAGGAATATATTAACTTCTTACCTGGCGGTGGGTCAGTTGGAGGATTGGTTGGTGGATATGTGGGTCTTGTAGGTCTTGTTGGCCTGGTAGGTCTAGTAGGAGGCGTTGGTGTGGGACATTGTCCTCTAGGTATACATACACCGTTAGGACCTCTTACATAACCTGAGGGACACTGACATGCATTGATCACACATACAGCAACACATATCTGATTAAATTATAGAAAAATATATACATATAGTTAACTCACCGGTGAGGGGTTTTCACAAGTTGGTTCACAACGAGTGCCACATGCCACAAGAACTTCATTACGATCGGGGTCGCAAACTAACAAAACATATAAAAGTTCAGGAAAATATTAACTTCTTACCTGGCGGTGGGTCAGTTGGAGGATTGGTTGGTGGATATGTTGGTGGATAAGTAGGCGGATAAGTTGGTGGGTAAGTCGGTGGGTAGGTGGGTCTTGTAGGTCTTGTAGGCCGGGTAGGTCTTGTAGGTCTTGTAGGAGGAGTGGGTTCGGTTGGGGGTGTGGGAGTGGGACATTGTTCTTCCGGAATACAAATGTTATCTGGCCCTCTAACGTAACCTGCTGGGCATTGACAAACGTTGAGAATACATTGTTCAGTACAACCCTGATGAATTTCATAAATCATGAGCTCAAAAAAATAAGCTCACTGGAGTAGGGTCCTCACAAGTAGGTTCACATGCTGTACCGCACTCAACCAAAATTTCATAAAGCTCAGGATCGCAAACTAGAATAATATAAGAATATATAAAATAAGTTGAGAATGATCACCACTCCTCACCTGGGGGTGGATCAGTTGGAGGATTGGTTGGCGGGTATGTGGGTCGCGTAGGTCTGGTCGGCCGAGTGGGTCTTGTTGGTCTAGTGGGTTTGGTTGGTGGTGTTGG